ACTGATACTGATATTCTTTTGCATGCATATATATGCTTCTTACCAGTGAGAAAGGATTAATATATTTGGAATGTGTATGTCCCCTTCCAAATGATTTATGACCAAGTCCTTCATTATAAGGAGGTAGGGAACGAAGTCTCTGTATTTTATCTAAGTAGTACATGGTTTATGACAAATTGAGACCCAAGACTTCTTATCCAGTTAGAAAGCTGAGGAAACCTGGGGAAGAGTTGGATATTGGAAATACCTTGGGGATGGTTTCATAGAACCAGCATGCCTGGGCACCCCTCCACCCCCCAGCACACACCTGATATAGTAAGTCAGGTGAGGCCCCATATAGGTACTAGTACTTCTATCACACAGGTGTTTATGATTTAATATAACATAATGACTTAGGAAACCAGTTTCACATTAATGATCTGAAACTGGCATGTACAAAAAAAAAAAGAAGAAGAAGAAGGAAAAGCCCAACAAGCCACTTTACTTGAGTGGCTTAGTGCTCATCAATATAAATTTACTTTTTGTAACTAGAATATAAGCTCCATGTGGACAGGGGATTTTGTTATGGTTGTTCACTGCTGTCTACCCAGCACCTAGAAAGATGTCTGGCAAAATAATTAGAAGTGTAGTGAATATTATTTGGTTTTGAATCATCGTATATATAACTAATACTGGGTGATAAAGATGATAAGGATTTGTTAGAAATGATATGCTGGTTGTGCTAATAAGAGTAAAAAAACAATACCATTACCTTTAAACATAAGTTAATTGAGTAAAATTTTGAATTTTATGGCTCTATACATTTATAGCTATAAAAACAGGACCTTGAAAAGAGTCATGTAAAAAAAGAGTCATGTAATTTGTATATTATGGCACTAAGTCATCTTGTTGAGAAGGCACATGAGGCCTAAAACCTATCCGAGACAAGTTCGTGCCTTCAGGATTACATCCACCTGAGAGGAGGGAGCAGTAGCTTCTGTTAAACAGTTTTGATGGGGCAGCCCTGGGTGGCTCAGCGGTTTAGCGCTGCCTTCAGCCCAGGGCGTGATACTGGAGACTCAGTATCGAGTCCCACGTCGGGCTCCCTGCATGGAGCCTGCTTCTCCCTCTGCCTGTGTCTCTGCCTCTCTCTCTCTCTCTGTCTCTCTCATGAATAAATAAAATCTTAAAATAATAATAAAAAAAAGGTTCATTAATATTTGATGTAATTAGCAGAGTTAGATTTAGGTCTGCCATCTTTTTTTTTTTTTTTGTCCCTTGTTTTTTGTTCCTTTGTTCCTTCTATCTTGTCCTTTTAAATTACGTAAATATTTTTTTAATTGCATTTTATCTACAGACTTTTTAGCTATATTCTTTTACATTACTTTTTCAGCCACTGCTCTAGGGAACACAGTATGTATCCTTAACTTTCCACAGGATTCTTAGAATTGATATTAACTACCACTTCACAGAAAATTTAGAGGCCTTGGATCACATAGGCTTATTTTATTTTTTATTTTTATTTATTTTTTTAATTCTTATTTATTTTTTTTTCTGGGTGCATGCTGGTCATTTTTTTTTAATTTATTTTTTATTGGTTTTCAATTTGCCAACATATAGAATAACACCCAGTGCTCATCCCATCAAGTGCCCCCCACAGTGCCCGTCACCCAGTCACTCCCACCCATCTCCCTTTCTACCACCCCTTGTTTGTTTCCCAGAGTTAGGAGTCTCTCATGTTCTGTCTCCCTCTCTGATATTTCCCACTCACATTTTCTCCTTTCCCCTTTATTCCCTTTCACTATTTTTTATATTCCCTAAATGAATGAGACCATATAATGTTTGTCCTTCTCCGATTGACTTACTTCACTCAGCATAATACCCTCCAGTTCCATCCATGTCGAAGCAAATGGTGGGTATTTGTCATTTTTAATGGCTGAGTAATATTCCATTGTATTCATAAACCACATCTTCTTTATCCATTCATCTTTCGATGGACACCGAGGCTCCTTCTACAGTTTGGCTATTGTGGACATTGCTGCTATAAACATCAGGGTGCAGGTGTCCCGGCATTTCATTGCATCTGTATCTTTGGGGTAAATCCCCAGCAGTGCAATTGCTGGGTTGTAGGGCAGATCTATTTTTAACTTTTTGAGGAACCTCCACATAGGCCTATGTTAACAACTCCTCCTATACGCTACCTATCATGTATAGTTCATCTACATACACTATAACCCCTCCAGATGTTAATTTTTGCTTTAAACAGACCTATGTATTTTCAGTAAAAGAAAAAGTAGTCTTTTATACTCCCTGAGAAAGTTACCATTTCCAGTGTTCATCCTTTCTCAAGTCTCCATCTGGTATCATTTCCCTACAGCCTGAGAACTCTAGCATTTCTCATAGTACAGGTCTGCTGGTGATACATTCTTTTTCTCTTAGTTGTCTTTTGTTTGTTTTAATCAGTAAATGTCTTTATTTTCATTCTGAAGATTCTTTTTGCTGGAATTCTAGAAGGAGTGTTTTTATCTGTCAACACTTTAGAGATTATCTTCTGGTCTCCTTAGTTTCTGATGAGAAGTCAGCAGTAATTTGAATGGTTATTTCCCCATATGTAGTGTATTGTTTTGTGGGTTTTTTTGTTTTTTGTTTTCCCTCTTGCTTTTCTCAGGATTTTCTCTTTATCTTTGATTTTTAGCAGTTTGACTATTGAACATGTGTATGACTGTGTGCATAGGCATGGTTTTCTTTATATTTAGGCTACCTAGAATTCTCTGAGCTTCATGAATCTGTAAATTTATACCTTTTGCCAAATATGGGGGAAATTTGGCTATTTCTTGAAATATCTTTTTCTATTCATTTTTTTCTCTTCTTGGGTTTTGATTACACATATATCAAGTCTTTTGATATTGTCCCACATGTCCCTGATACTGTTCATTAATACTTTTTTTGTCTCTCTGATTTTAGATTGGTTATTTGCTGTTGATCTTACTTCACATTCAACTTTCTTTTATCTCCATTTTGCTTTAAGTCTAACCAGTTAATTTTTCACTTCATATATTTTCTGCTTCTGAAGCTGTTTGGTTCTACTTTCTTTTTCTTAATTTTTGTTTGTTTTTGCTGAACTTTCCTATTTTTATTACCTTGCAAGCATGTTTTCCTTTTCACTTTTGAATATCCTTTAAACACCTATTGCCTGGGCACCTGGGTGCCTCAGTGATTGAGCTCTTTGGCTCAGGTCGTGATCCTGAGGTCCTGGGATCAAGTCCCACATTGGGCTCCCCACAGGGCGCCTACTTCTCTCTTTCTGTGTCTCTCATGAATAAATAAATAAATAATCTTAAAAAAAAAAAACAAAAAACAAATAAAAACCATGTATGCCAATTCTAACACCTGGGCCATCTCAATGTTAATCTCCTTTGATTGTCTTTTTTTCTTAGGATTGGACCAGTTTTCTGCTCAGTTATTTTTAATGGTATCCTGGGCATTGTTACTGTTATATTAAGACTGTAGATTCTGTTTCATTCCTCTGAATGGTGACTTTTTAGGGAATTAACTTGATTAGACTTAAATTGCAAGTTCTGTCTCTTAGGTAGCTGTTCATATCACAGTTCACTTGTTTGATCCTTCACAGTACTCTGTTTTGTACATGTGTTGGTTCAGAAGTGATCAGAGATTTGGGCACCTAGGACTCCACTCTTCTGGCTGTCTCCCTGCTGGGAGTCCCCTAGAGGCATGTTAGTATAACTGCAGCTACAAATACAGAAGTGTTAGTGTGCTTTAGATTACAATTGTCTTTTATAGATTGTTTGTAAATAATCTCATATATATTGCTTTTAATAACACTGATACCATGCTAACTGCTGTAATAGAAACTTTTCTTGACTTACTGATTTGCGTACATCCCTGTCTGCATTAAATGATAGTAGCTGTATGTCACTTTATAGTGTCAAGATTATATGTATGGTCTAGTGGAAAGAAATTTAATTGGGTATCCTTAGGCTAATATTCTAGTTATGGGTCCACCACTAACTGGTAGTATATTAAGACATTGAAATGACTTATCTGACCTTCACGATTTTTATCTTTAAAAAGGAATTGGACTAGTCTATAATCCTTTCTGGCATTAAAGTTTAACAATTTTCCTAATCATAGTCAATTATTTTGTTACTGGGCAAAATTCTTTCTCTGTATTCTCTACCTCTTTTAATTCTCTTACTCTATTTCATTTAATTTTTGTGATTTCATTACCTTACACCAAATCGTAAACCATTGAGATATGTAGTTACAATTAAGTACTCAAAAGGTAGTTCTGTGTTACCGTAACTAGCAATTTAACATTTTTTCAAAAATTCCTAAAATGTAATAGATGGATATTGAAAAAAGTTTTAGCATTTAATGTTGGTGACTAGGTTTCTTCTGAGCCAAATGCTTAGTTCTCACACCTGCATATATCTGAAGTCACGTGCCTTTTGATAGATTATGTTAAAATTTGATTATTTTAATTTAACACCTTATATTTCTCTGCATAGCATATTTATTTCTGTGATCATTATTACAAGAACATTGGATATTTTGTTCTTAGTTTGTATAGAAACATGTTATTTTATACTCAGTTTATATAGACTTGTATTATTTCTTCTGTTCACTTGAATTTTACAATATCACAGTACTGTTTTATGACATAGGTATAGGTCTCCCTCATGAAAAACAATTTGAATAAGGTTATCTAACATCAGTTATTAAATTAATTTTTGTTCTCATTCATTAGATTGAAATACCTTATGGTGCTTAATAAGCCCTTATTATTTGCTCTCATTCAGAGTCTTTTCTATGAATGTGTTCTTTATACATTGTTATATGGAACTCTTTAAGGATTTTTAAAATTTTTATTTAATTATTGACTATATGTATCTACTAATTAAAAATAAGATGGTCAGATGTTCATTGTGTATAAATAATATGTTGTTATTTCACATGTATTTAATCAGTGTTAACAAAGCTTTCTTTGGTATACCTTACAGGTGACATTTGCAGACAGAAAAGGTAAACTGTCAAGGAATTCATACCATTTGGTACCTGTTATTTGGACCAAGTTAAGGAGTTTTTGATTTTTCAGATCAACTGGTAACAGAAAATGAAAAGTAGTGTGGCTCAGATAAAAGTAAGTGTTTGAAATTTGTAATTATAAATTATTTGTAATCAATTATCTGCCCTTTAATCAAAAAATGTACTTACAGGGATCCCTGGGTGGCGCAGCGGTTTGGCGCCTGCCTTTGGCCCAGGGCGCGATCCTGGAGACCCAGGATCGAATCCCACGTCGGGCTCCCGGTGCATGGAGCCTGCTTCTCCCTCTGCCTGTGTCTCTGCCTCTCTCTCTCTCTCTCTCTCGCTCTCTGTGTGACTATCATAAATAAATAAAAAAAAAAAATTAAAAAAAGGAAGTGTCTAAAAAAAAAATGTACTTACAGAATTAGGACATTAGAACACAACAGTAGGGTGGCATCATACAAAGATCTAACTTACTCATTTTTAAATGTACATAAGTGGTCAGATGGAAGCAATAGTGTGCAAGAGGACAAGTGAGAGAACCTACAGGATGTGTGTGTTCGTGTGTGTGTCCATGTATGCACATATATGTATCATTGCACAAATCAAGAAAGTACATGTGAATGAGCACATGCAAAAGAAAAATAAGTAACAGGCAGGGAATTCCACTATTCTTCTTAAAGAGCATAGTTTCCTGAGTGAGCATGAAATGGAAGACAAGTATGTCCTTCCTCAGTTAATCATAATTTCTGCATGTCCATGTACAAGTGCACCTTTCATTGGATATTTTATATGCATAAACAAGCTCTTTATGCTGTCTTTTAGGCATTATACGCTCATTTGTTGAACAGATATTCACCGAATTCTTACTATGTCCCAGTGACTTCTAAACACTTTAGGTAAAATGGTGAACAAAACAGAAATCCTTGGTCTCATGGAGTTTGCATTCTAGTGGGAGAAGACAAAATAAATGATGAACTTACTCCATAAATAATTTATATGGTATGGTACAGTGTTAATAGCTAGACTCATGCTGCAGACAAAGGAAATAGGGTAAGGTTGATCATTAGCATTGAAGACTGGAATTTTTGATAGGGAGGGCCACTGAAAAGGTAGCCATTTGAGCAGACACTTGAGGATATGAGGAAGTTAGCCATGCAAATAACTAGAACAGTATGCCAGGCAGAGGGAACAGCAAGTATATAAAGACAAAGAATCTAGTGTGGCTGAGGCATTATTATAAGAAAAGCAAAATAGTAGATGTGCAGTCAGAGCTGTAAAAGGAAGCAGTAACTCCGACTACTTTCAGAACTGTTCCTCTTCCTATCAGTGGACATTGCAGGAGAGCACACCATTCCACTTCTTTTCAACTGCACAGATCTACAAGCAGACATATCACTCTCTGGGTCTTGAAGTCTGTGAAGGGGAAGGTGTATTTTTATTTAATTACAAATCTAGGCACTGCTCCCTTCCTTTATCCTCCACCAGCTCTTTACCCCTAAACTTCCTTCTTAAAGAGAACCAGTAGACTGAGCTTAACAGTAGACAGCAGGTGCTAGGCCTGGTGCCTGGTCAGTGTTTAATAAACTGAACTGGTAGACTTACAGACTGAGGCAGGCTCAGCTGCCATCTCTTCTAAATTCTGGCAATTGTGATACTGTCGAGTGTAAGGCTTGGTAGACCCCCAGCCCCTGCTTGCCTATCTCTTTTGGGAGTTGCTCACTGTCTCAAGCTAGACCCATCTGTCAGTAGATACATTGTTCTGAAATCTGCCTCTTTGGGACTTGTACTCTTTGGTCCAAAGGCACTTAAGCAGTTACCTAATTGTGAGCCTAGTAGGTAGCGGACTGTGCTAAGAGCTGGGGCCATAAGGAAAGAGGAAACCTGTGTGGAACTGGCCGTTGATTGAGCCAGAGGAGACAAGCACTCAGATGTAGCTGGATACTTTTTACACGGAGAGAAGTGTTGAGTCATTTCAGAATCCTCTTCCTGCTCCTCTTGTACTGTGCTTCTCCACCTTTACCTGCTGTAGTCCCAGTGGGTCCTCAGTGGCTTCCCCCCAGCCTAGGAGTGGGCATCACCAGTCAGCATGCCCTTCAGGCGGAGCAGCTCAGCTCTCTCTGCCAGTTCTGTCCAGTTGGCCTCCCTTTCTCCATCCTGTTAGCCACAGGCAGGCCCTCTAGCTGGGTGGGGCCCATTTTTACCTCAGGTGAAGCTCAGGTCTTCCCCCTTGATGTTCTGAGGACTGGTCTGCTAGGTTCGGGAGGGTTCAGCTGAGGATCCCTCGTTTTTTCCGTTGAGCCTTCCTTACTAGCAATTTCCTTAGCTGTCAAGAATCAAGCTTCCTTCTTGTTCCAACCCTTCTACTCCTTACTTTTAAAGACTGGTTCCCTGAGCCTAATGGATGCTCAGAGGTCTGGACTTAGGCTCCCTGCTCCACTTACCTTCTCATACTGCTGTCTGTATATTGTTAGAAATTATAGGTAACCACATGGTGTAAACATTTGTTTTTGCCTAATGAACAACTTAGAGAATTTTTATTTATTTATTTAATTTTTTAAGAGAATTTTTAAAGGTAATTTTGACAGTATATTATTTTCAACACCACTCTGACTCATAATCTGAACTCTATGGTAAAGGAAATAGGAAAATTCAGGTTATTATTTGGATGACATTTCCAAATGATTTTTTTCCCTCAGTGAAATCCTGTTCATCTACCAAAGCCCAGTTCAAATCCCCCTCTCCCCGCAGTGATCCCTCAGTATTCAGTTTTTGTTCCCTACTCAGGATGTCCTGTTAGCACTTCTTTGTGTGCCACTCACGTTAACTTAATCATATTTACAAAATCCTGATTCACGACTTCAATATTTTTGGTTTTCCCCCCTTGCTCACAACAGATGTTGCGGAGATGTGTTAGAAATCATTAGCACAGAACTGAGGCCTTCTCCCTAATGTAATCAATAATTGCTGTGCCTTGTAAAAGAAAAAGTAGACTGCAGTTTTGTTCTCTGTCTGTCCCCCAGCCCCTTCCTCTCCTCTTCCAGTTCTTCCTCCTTTTTCTTCGCTTTTTCTCTGTTGCTCTCTCAAGAATATATAATCTGATTTATTTAATCGTGGAAATCTTCACAGCCACCTTTCTACCATAAGATCATAAGTTCCTTGAGGGTTTTTCCTATCTTATATCCTCCGGACTATCTACACAGGAAAGGCTGCCTTATAATAAATGATCAGTAAATACTATGTTTGGTGTTGCCATGAATCGAATCAATTTTTTGCTTCATATCTGATTTGAGATCTTGATGTCAAGTTTCATGGAAACCTATGCCCTACATATTAAACAATTTTATTTCATGGTGTTGCTAAGTGAAGTAATTTTTAAAGCTTTCTCTTATATATGTTAGAAACAGGATTTTAAGATGGTTGCATTCAGTATAAGATAGCGGCCAAGCTATGGCTACCATAATTTACAAATTATGATTACATGCCTGTTTACCTACATTAGATTAGTCTAGTTTGTATATACTATTAGAAAAATTCAATAGTTAATGAGGCTGTCAGCTTTATGATAGATAATGTTAGACTCAAACTTCTGTTAGTCATAAAATAAGAGGAAGTTGGAGCTTGTTTACATTTCTATGCAGTATAATTTTCTATTTTTAAATGTTTCTTTTTTCCCATTAAAGAGACAACCATGTAATTATGCAGAAAAAGTTGCTCATTATTTGATTTCCTTTTCCTCAGTTTTTTTTCTTTTTCTTAGATTTTAAGGTAATGTTACTTTTAAAAAACATGCTATTTTCCCTTTCTTATAATTAGGTTAGTTAAAATTATTTTAATCCTAAAAAAAAAAAAAAGCTGGTCAATATGAATGTTCACCAGTGATGTAAAAAATTTACCTATTTACAGAGATAAATATTTTGGCTTCTTAACTGTATTTGGATTTTTAAATTAGGATTTGTTCTAAAACTGGATGGTTCATGTCTCTGTCTCCTGTGACATTGGTCTTCAGTTTCATGTTACAGTGAAGCTACTTATTTGTATATCTGTTATTTTTCAAAGGATTTGGCATAGGAGCTCTCTGATGAATCATGTTTTCAAATCTGTAGAGCCTCACATAGTGCCATACATATCAGACACTAAACAATATTTCCTGAAAATAAAAATGAATTTTCGTATCTGTAGTAGCATCAGTTTCTTCTAGCTGTTTATTTTATCCAGATTTAGTAACCTCGACTAAAGTGGTTTTTATAAGCCAAAGTAGATTCGGGGAGATAAAAAAACTTCAATATAACCACAGAAGTGAACTCTTCTTGCTAGAAGACATCTGGCCCTTAGTCGTGTTTTTCACCAAGAGAAAGTGTTTATAAAAATGACATTCTGTATATTTAAAACTTATTACATAGGCATAAAGTATCAACAAAGTGGCATCGAAAACTTGGGAATTACTTTCTTCTACTTGAATATTTTTTGGTTAAAAAAAGTATTTGATCCATAGTGAAAACAGACGTCTACCACAGTATTTACCTTGGAGGGCCTGAAAATTTTGTTTTATTTTATATACTGTTTCGATACAAAATTATTCTTATGATTAAAAAAAAGTTTTGAAATAATTGGTAAAGCACTTCCAATTTTCTGAGGTGTTTCATTTTCTGTATGTTTTTAACGTAATTTTTAAAATGCCCCCTCTCCTATTTTTTCCCCTTGAAAGCATTCTGGTCATGACAGAAGGGAAAACTATAATTCCTATCAAAGAACGTCCTCTCCAGAAGACAGGTAAATAATTTTATGTGCTCCTGCAATTTAAATTTTTTTAATAAGTCTAAAAAATTAATCCTTTGGTTCCTCAATTTAGGGTGAACAGTTTCTTTTTGATGGTTTTATAATATTGAATAAGCTTCAGGACAAATCATTCTTAAATGACTGTTTTGGGGTTTCTAGTAAATAAGTTTAGATTTTATCTAATTTTGGAGGTGAGAGAATAATATCAGCATGTCAAATACTACATAAAAGTTTTATAAAATGAATACTAAATGAAACACTAAATGAAAGTTTATAAAATGGAAAAGTGAGTTGAAATCTTATTTTGAAGTGCTGCTTTTACTGTTACTACTATCCTTTACATAGCTCTTTATAGATTTCAGAATTTTTTATATATTATCATATCTTTTGATTATGTTAAAAGATCTAGAAATATTACTATTAATGTTCATCAGTCATTTATAGTAGTACTTCAGTTATTTCACTTAGTGAGCTATGACCATTAAATCTAATTTATGAAGGGAGAAGCATCCTCTAAACTTTCTTTCAGTGGTCTCATTGCTTCCTTATCCCAAATGTACTTTTTTCTTATTGCACTCTATTGTCTCTAAAAACTTTGTTTCGTGGGCATTGAGTTAATTGTCATCATTTGTAACTGCTTAGTACCTTTTGCCAGTCACCTACTTTCTGTCTTAAAAAAACACACAACTCTTCACACGCACAGACACACATGTATATATGTATGTCTGTATGTTACATAAATTAATTTTAACGTATACTGTCGACCCCTGAATAGCCTGGGCTTTAGAGGCTGACACCCTCCATAGTTGAAAATCTGCGCATAACTTTCGACTCCCCAAAAACGAACTACTAATATTCTGCTGTTGACCAGGAACCTTACTGGTAACATAAACAGTAAACTAATATTTTTTATGTTACCTGTATTATATACTCTGTTCTTGCAATGAAGTAAGCTTGAGAAAAGAAAATGTTATTAATAAAATCACAGGGAAGAGAAAAATACATTTATAATACTCTACTCTCTTAGAAAAGATTCATTGAACCCGAACAATTCGAACCCCCACAATTCAAACTCAGTTAAAAGGTTAACTGTATATAAACTATAAATTACTATATTACTATACTATACTAATATACCATGTATATTATTATATTTGTGTACGTATTTAACTTCTCTTAAGATTCTCTGACTTTATGGATATTTAAAGTTCAAATGGTAGATCTCTACTGTCGTCCTGTTTGCTAATAATTTCAATCTCTTCTCACTGCTCTTCAGTAAAACAGGTTCAAGAATAAAAGCTGATTTTTTTTTTTTTTTTTGGATGTCTTTTGGAGTGAATTAAACTGATCTTTACGGAGGCCAGCCAATGACACTGGTCTCATTTGTTCATTGCTTTGATAAAATGAGCCAGCTAGTCAAAAGGGGTCATTTCATTTGCAGGGTGAGCTTTGTTCATGCTAACTGTATATGATATCCAGTTATGGATCTTTTACTTAAGACAGTATGAATCAGGATGACAGGTTTGGTTTTGTGAACTCCAGGGGTGGTTTTGTGGACAAGCTGAAAGCTTTTATAATCAAGAGTAAATGAAGGGTGTCAACAAAATAAGCTGTTTGTTAAAACCAGTTTGATATAAAACGTTGTTTAGTCATAGAGTTGATTTAACATTACCAATATATGATTTTCCTAAGTATTTATAACAGTAATTTTCATCATATAACTTTGGTGTTATTTTATGTTAGATATGCAGAACAAGAAAGATCCCCACGGGATAAAGATTACTTTGATTACGGCAGGTCAGACTATGAGCATTCAAGAAGAGGACGTTCTTATGATGGTAGTGTGGAATCACGGTTAGTATTGGAAACTTTAACTATAGAAAAATCATATTTGTTTAAATATTCTTTGCGCTTCTTAAAAAGAAAACTGTAATAATAGCAACTAGCATTAAATGCGTGTTCTTGTGCCAGGCTTTCTAATAGGTACTTCATGTGAATTAACTCCTTATTTTAGTAAATACATGAAGTAGATACTGTTGTGTGTTTTATAGATGAAGAAACTGTGGCATAGAGGACATAGAGGATTTAAGTCATGTATTTGTGTTTTAGAAGCATGTCCGTGGCAAGTCCAGGTCTATCTGACATTGAGCCTAAGCTCTTATTCATTATATGGTACTGTACTGCATGAGGAGTTGGCAATGTGAGTTTTTGAGATTCTTTACTGAATGAAATTGTTTATAAGATGTAGAATGATCGAGATTTACTTCCTATGTGATGGCACTGGGACACTGAAAATTAAGTTACCAATCTAGTTTTTATCTAAATACAAATTATTTTTTGAGCCTTGGAGAATTTGACTACCCACCCTATTAGTCATTCAGTTTCAGAAATTTGTCTACCATAAAATTGTTCACAAAGGTCTGTATCCTTTTGATGCCTCCCTCGTATTAGCCACTCCATGCCTACCAACACTATACCCCCACTAAAATGTTTATAAAATTCCTTGGTAGTTTGGAGCTAATCTCATTATTTAATATCTGCAGCCTAAATTTTCTTCTCACTACTTACTTTCTAATATATACCCAAAACTAAAATGTTAGCTTAAATTAACCTCCAAATGCCAGGCTCATCTTCCATCACTGTAATGACCCCTCATAAGAACCAACTACTGCCACCATAATGAACTAGGCATTCTGCAGTTTTTCTCAAATGTTGTTAAAACTCTTACAAACTAGATACTATCTTTCACAATTTAAAAATTTTTTAAAAGTGGGTTTGAAGTGATTACGTAACTTACCTGAGGTTGCAGTTGCCTATCTGGTAGACAGTGAAAGTGGGATTTGAACTCATTTGACTCCAAGGCCTATTTTTTCTTCTATAATCTCTATTATTTCATTGTAACTGTTTTGGGTCCTATGTATATAGATAAGTCTCATTTGATCCATACAGTCACCCTGTGAAGTGAGCAGGCTGTGTACTATGTAGAAAATAAAAGCTAAAAGTGTGAAAGCACTGGAAGAGAAATATTTCTATTTAGACTTGAAGAAGCCTCTATTACTTCTGCACTCTAAAGGAACAAACAGGGAAATTGTAAAGATGCAATTTTATCAGCCAGCTAACAGTCTTACCTAGTATTTCTCAGAAGAATCCTAACCAAAGCCAGTAAATCCCTGCTGTAGTTCCTCTCTTGGAACATACTATAAGAAGCAACTCAGTTGCAAATCAGTGCCTAGATTTCCGTGGACCTGCCTTTGTGACTAATTGGGATCTCTATTTGGAACCACTTTTTTCCCTTTTGTTCACTCTGTCTTCATGAATACAATGGTATAGTTAAGTTTCAAAAAAGCTTCTCTGAATCTAGGTGGCTAGGTGATTGTGTTTCTCTCTTTGTAAGTTGTATTACTATGTAAAGCTAAGTGGACAAACTCTTCTTTCAGGAAAGATAGCACAAAAGCAAGAATTTACTTTTCCCTGTTCTTGATTGTTTCAGAAAATAAGACCTTGATTGTTTTTAAAATGTTAGCTTAAGAAAGGATATTCTCCTACAATAATAGGGAAGAGTTATGGCTAGAAAATAGTTAATTTTTTTTTCACATAGTCTGAAATAACCAGATGCTTCTGATATTCTAGGGTTTTAAATGCCAGTTCTATCAAGAAATAATTTCAGACATTACAGTTTTTTAGGTCATTTTTACTCCTAGGTTGCCATTATAGGAGATAAACTCTGGTTTCTTTATATAGCTTATCGTGTACATCGCGGGCTAAATTATCTTCTTAAAACACTGTTTTCGGGTAGCCCTGGTGGCGCAGCGGTTTAGTGTTGCCTGCAGCCCGGGGTGTGATCCTGGAGACCCGGGATCGAGTCCCACATCAGGCTTCCTGCATGGAGCCTGCTTCTCCCTCTGCCTGTGTCTCTGCCTCTCTCTCGCTCTCTCTGAATGAATGAATAAATAAATAAATCTTAAAAAAAAAAAAAAAAACATTAAAAAAAAAAAAACACTGTTTTCATGTCACTCACTATCACACTCAAACTATTAATGATTCCCTATCAACTCCATTATAAAAAACTTAGTCTTTTGCTTGGTTTTTAATATCACAGTCTGACTTGAACTCAACTACCATTATACATAATTTTTGTTTCCTGACTATACTGCTTATTAGCTTGAACAGCCCTGCTTCACTTTTTAGTAGTTATTCTGTTTTCCACTAGTTGCAGAATGCCTTCCTTCCTCCTCCACCTTCCCACCCTTGCCCCAGTATAAATTTTGTCAAACCTTATAGCCCTGGTTTAAGTTACATTTTTACTATGAAGCACTTCCTCATCATCCCAAACAACATTCCCTTGTCTGAATTTGTGGCCTGCAAATGGCCTCACTCATTTGGTATGCAGCTTATTTAAGAATGTAATTTATATTGCCTTTTCTCCCAGAAGTAGGGACCGAGAAAAACGGAGAGAAAGAGAAAGAGATACGGATCGTAAAAGGTCGCGGAAATCCCCAACTCCTGGGAGAAGAAGCCCAGAACCATCAGTAACCCAGACTTCCTCTACTCAGGATGAACCTACCGCAAAGAAGAAGAAAGATGAGCTGGATCCTCTTCTTACTCGTACAGGGGGAGCATATATTCCTCCTGCAAAGCTCAGGATGATGCAAGAGCAGATTACAGATAAAAACAGGCATGTCAATATCACTAAGTATACAAGGCAATGATACCCTGATTGAAAAAAAGTCAACTATGGTCTGAATTAACCTTGGATATTCAGTTTGTATCATTAGTCCCTAGTGGTAGAGACTTCAAATTAGATTTCTCTTCTTTATTCCATAAGCTCTTTTTTTGGAACTCTGCTTACTATTTGCCCTGACATTAGCTCAATAAAGTTGTATACATGCCTATTAGTAGTGTCCATTTTTCATAGATGATCAAGAGTATTATTGATAATTTTAGAATTAAAGTCAATCTTTCCAATTGTACCAAACCAGGAAATGGCTAATTTTTTCTGTAAAAAGACAGACAATAAATATCGTAGGGTTGTGCGGTGTTCTCTGTTGCAGAGACTCAACTCTGCTGTAGTAATGAATACAGCCTTAGATAATATGTAAACAAATGAGTGTGGCTCTGTCCCATTGAAGTTTTATTTACAAAAATGGGCTGTAGGCTGCATTTGGGTCATGGATGTAGTTTGCCAACCCCTATACTAATCTATGAAGTGAACTTGACTATGAAATGAAGTTGAATTTTCTCTATACTTTTGTAGGCTGTACCATCCTAGACTGTAATTTAAGTCAATCAAAATTCATATATGAACATTCACCCTCAAAATACCTTTGCTTCCTTTTCAAGATAATTGAGATGAGAGGAGCTATGTATGAAAGTATAGCTAAGTTTTCAAGACCTTTTTCTCTAGTGGAATGAGAGGATAATTACAATAAGTATGGTCCAAGATTGAAATGGTCACTCAGTTGCCAGTTGGGTAATAAAAGGATTGTGATAGAAGGTAAGCTACACTTTAAGAAAAATATTTCCAAGTGACAAAGTATTCCCACATTTTTCATAGATATTTTAATGGCAACTTGAAAGTAGTTGAGACTCTTATATAAATGAAATCTAAATTTACTTCGTGAATTAGCTTGAAGTAGAAATGTTTCTTCATATTTATATGAAGTATGAATATTTGAAATAAAATTTTTAAAATTTATGAGCTAGAAAGGGACATTAGATAACATTAAATTTAAAACTAATTAGTAAGTCTCTCCGTATGTGTCCTATTCCAGTGCATGATAGTGATGCCTGCAGTGTTATGTTTAGAAGGGATTTGAGATGGCTTCTTGGTTAGTAGGAGCTTCATGAGCTCTTAGGAGAAGGCAGGAGGGGCAGCATTAATGAAAGAGTCATTGTCTCCAAACCAGGCCAAAACAATCCTAATTGAAAAGACCAGAAACACTGTTAGTAAGTCAAGTCTTACTACCTTATAAATAAAATGGGTGGAGAAGAGTCCCCGGTATATGTGATTTTACACAGATTCCTTGGAGATAATTTTATATATAGTTTAAATCTGCTCATGTTTGTAAAAGGGACAAGGATAAGTAGAAGTCTCTTAAGAAAAGTCTATAGACTGCTTTTAGTAGATACTAGGTGAGGGAAATTGTAGACTTCTTAATTAGGAAGTACAATTGTACTTGATTATATATATATATTTTTAACCAAAGTTTAATAGGAGAGATTGTGATTATGTATCAGCAATTTTATTATTTAGGGTAGTTGTTAAACTATTGATCTTTATTTCTCAAATAGAAGCATACCAAAAGGTTAGGGTTGTGGACTGCTGGAAGTGTTGCACCCACCTCAGATGTAGGAGTACATGATCTATAGGGAATTTAAAAATAATATAATTTTAACTGCAAGTCAGTCTGCTTTTTGCCCTTAGTGTCTGCTGAGAACAATATCAGTGATAAAATATTCTTCCCCACTAGGGCAGACTGTTCTCACCACCTCTCCCTTGGAATACTGCTCCAGAACAAGGATTCTTAACCTACAGATCTTCAGAAGGTCAATAAGTAGAATTTAGGCAGTCCATGAATGTAAATGGAAAGAAAAAAATTGCTGCCTTATTTTTACTTATCTCTAAAATTTAGCATTTCTCTCAGGAATGTAGGCACCAGATCGTGGTATTAAGACTATTCACTAAAAAAAAATAAAATAAAATAAAATAAAAAAATAAGACTATTTACTGCAAATATCTCAAATATTCTTTATGGCCATGCTGCTTGGAAATTAAGTTATTAGGCCTGCCACCACTTCTTGTCATTTAATGTGTTAAGAAACACAAAGTATATTATATCAAACTTTTTTCTCTTCATGCTTTGAAAACTATTTGAATAAGATTGGTATCCTTTGTAATCTTACATATTTATATATATGTTATTCTAAAAAGTCCTTCAGCTTCACTAGACTGCTAGAGAAGTATAAGGAAGAAAGAAAAGATTTTCTGCAACTGAAATCATACTCCACAGAGAAATAAATATAAAAACCATAAAAAAAAAAACATATGAACTGTAGATCCTTAAAAGACCTTAGGTGTTACTAAGTTCAACCTAAACAAACCCATCTAGGCTAAATTATTTACCTAAGATCTAAGTTAAAAAAACAACCCATACAGATGTGGGACTACTGCCTAAAAGCAGAGGTTCTTTAAAATGCAACAGTCTTGGGGATCCCTGGGTGGCTTGGGTTTAGCACCTGCCTTCGGTCCAGAGCGTGATCCTGGAGTCCCACATCGGGCTCCCTGCATGGAGCCTCCTTCTCCCTCTGCCTGTGTCTCTGCCTCTCTGTCTGTGTCTCTCATGAGTAAATAAATAAAATCTTAAAAAGGAAAAGTACAAGAGACTTTCGGTCCCATGATTTCCATGTGACTTTCCCTTTTCCTATAATTCTTACCATTTCTTTACAGTTTAAAATATTTAATTTTGTGTTCTTTATCATACTTTTGTGAGAAAAGATATAAGAAAAAATCTTTATGGTTTGTATTTGGATATTTCATATTACAAAATTTTTTTAAATGGTCATTTTAAAATATTTAAAGACAATTTTAACTAAATGAGGTGTTATAATGTAAAATAAGTATGTATTGAATCTAATAAATGTTATAATTTGCAATATACATAGACATAAGAATAAAGCATTCTTACATATCCTTATATAATTTTATTATGTTACTAAAGGGAAGTGATCTGTAGATGAGTATATGTACAGAACATTAAATACAGGTTTAGGTATTAAGACAGTCATATATTTTGCTGCACTTTGAGGTCATTTTGTGAAGATAATGTTAAAAACAAAGGAAATCTAAGTATTTTTTATGTTCTTATACTCTCTGGTTATTATAATTGTTGACTAAGTTTTCATCTTTATTAAAATCAATTCTTTTTAGCTTAGCGTACCAGAGGATGAGCTGGGAGGCCCTAAAGAAGTCAATCAATGGTCTTATCAATAAAGTCAACATTTCTAACATAGGTATTATTATTCAAGAACTTCTTCAGGAAAATATAGTTAGAGGAAGGTAAGCATCAGCTGATTTATAGTATTTATGTAACAATTTTTCAAATGAGCATAATAGCTACGTGACTAATAATCATTGATTTGTTCTACTTCAGTAGTAATTGAGCATGATTATTTAAAATGCAGTTCTTGTAAAAAATGTAAGCTACTAACAAATAACTTGTACTTCACTGTTAGAAATTGTACAGTTTTTGCTCTTTGAAAGGTTTGATGTCACATACTCATTTTTGTGCAGACATTTGTTTACTGAATACTTCCAATAATTTAAACTCATAAAGAATAATGAAATATATATATAAATTTCTAATTAAAGCAAAGAGAATATAAAAGAATTGAGAAAGCTCAGTAATAAATTTTAGAAAAGCGAAAGGGAATGACAGTCATGTTCTGTATAGTTTTAAGTGGTTGTGATTTTAAAAGTATCCAGAAATAGAAATATTTTATATTCTGTTTTTTATATTAGAATCTGAGGGATGTTTTCCTCTGTCATTTCACATGACTGATTTATCATCCCCAACACATTAGTGAGGGGGCATATAAAGTAAGATGTAACGGGATATAGAAAGTTGACCAAGAGGCAGCTACTGTCCTCAAAGGTAGATAGTTAGAGCTCTCCCATTTTAGTCAGAAAGCAGCAGAAGCTATATGGGTTGCCTAAGGTCTCACAATTCATAAGCTCAGTTTTCTTTTCTCATTTTTTACTCTGTTGATTTGTCAAAGCTAAACAGTAACTATTAAGACGCTGTTTTCCTGCCTTTTGGTAGTCCAATAAGTATGTGTCATTACATTGCTAGAAATAACTCTTCAGTTAGCTCACTTTGCATCTCTCCTCCTGTCAAATGCATATAGAACCATGCTCATTTCAAAATAAGTTAGAAGTGGACCCTTGTTGACTCCTTTTTTTTTTTTTTTTTTAAAAAACAGGGGCCTGCTATCCAGATCTGTTTTGCAAGCACAGAGTGCTTCTCCAATCTTCACTCATGTTTATGCAGCATTAGTGGCAATTATAAACTCAAAATTTCCACAGATCGGAGAATTAATTCTCAAGAGGTTAATTCTTAATTTCCGAAAAGGCTATCGAAGAAATGATAAGGTACATCTGATGGGCTTGTAAATCAACTGCCACATAGGGACAGACTAATAATCTAGTATCAATAATGATAAACAGTGTTGATTTCTACATAGGAATTCTTTTTAAAAACTGCAGAACATTTTTTTGTTCCATTAAATATATTAGCTACTAATGATGAGCTAAAAAATGATGGCTGTAACTGTACAATTATAATTATTTAGCCAGAAATGCCACTATTTCGCTTGTAATAGTTTTTATCTTGTAACTTTCTCGTAAGAAAAAAATTATCCTTGTGTGCTACATATTTTAATAGCGTGTAAGTAAGCTATAGATTTAGTGATTAAATGAAAATTCGTTTTAGTTTATAGATTAACCTTGTCTCTACCTTCACTTTTCAGCAACTTTGTCTTACTGCTTCAAAATTTGTGGCACATCTTATTAACCAAAATGTGGTAAGTAATTCTCAAAATTTGATGCCACTTCATTGACAATCTATTTTTGTTTTGCCTTATAGTCTTTGAGAAAAGTATCTTGGATGATATTTTAGTTTTAAAATGATAATAAATGTGTTTAATCTTAAATATAAAAAGTAATACAGAACAAGTATTTTATGAAATTAATCTGACCGTTAATATTGTACATGGTTATTCAACTACAAAATCCTTAAAAGATTATAACTTAATCATATTTATGAGACAATGAAGTTGATATTACTTCCACTTTTTCTTTTGTATCTGTTGTTCATAAGAATGTAATACTATCTGATATCATATAAAAATCTTTTCTGCACAACATGGTATATAAAATCATATATTCTTAGAATCAGTTTATAAAATGCAAATTAAGTAATATTAATCTGTTTTAATTACAAGTAATTTTGTCTTTTTATTGTTCAGGTTTTGTATTTTGTATTTATTCATTGCTCCAGTCATCTATCCATTCATATATTTGAGTTTTGATTTAGCTTCTGTTTAAACTTCAAAATGATAAAATTGCTCTTATTCATACTCAGAGGTTTCCTTCAGATTTATATTATGTTTAATTATATGTGTTATACTTTGAAGTCACATTTAATCTTATTTATCCACCATCAATATTTTAATTCTTTCCTATATGAAATTATTTACCATATGAAATTCTTTCCCATGTTCATTCTTAAAAACCTATTAGATTTTAACCTCGCAAGTTAAATTATTGCAGTGATACTTGCTTCTTCCATTAAGACCATGGAAACTTAATTTCACATATCTATGTGAAAGCACAGAAAGTGTTAGTTTTTGAATATATATTCACTTATATTGAAGATATTTTTTGCATTGCCACAAATCTGTTAAAATGTTAACTATTTTAAATCTTCCCCTGTGGTACAAGGCAGTGTTTTCTTAGCACTGATGTTAGATTGTTCCCTCCCCACCATCCCCCCCAAATAAAAGCATATGTATTTTTGATGTTATGCTCAATCAATGGAAAGGATATTTTCATAAGTTAAGACATAGACTATTTCCTTCCCCATCTCAAAGAAGTGTCCAAACTTAGAAAGGCATATATATGACATCTTGAAGATGCTTCCTAGTACATTTCTTTTTCACAGCAAAGCTTCTCAGTAGAATTTTATTCCAGCCCTACCTGGCATGGTTTTGAAGTATTAATTTTTGAATGGGGGCCAGTGTCAATAACTTGATATAGTAAATTAAAAAAAAAATAGAGGGAAATATTTCAAAACTGTCTTTGTGTACCAGAAATAGTTAATATATATTCTGATAAAATTATCCATGTAATTTAAGAACTTATTTACTGTATAACAAAATTGCTGATAGAATGAACTAGGAAATAGACATAAAAAGTTGTGGTTGTGAAGAACCACTTTTTTACTACACATTACATTTTAGTTCTTATGCACATTATAAAAAGTATAGTATTACTATTCTATAGTGATTGTAAAAAATTAATACATAATTTTTTAACTTCTGTTTTGAAGCTACTTATGGCATTTCCTGTAGACATTATTTCCTATATATAATGTGTAAGAATTATTTCTTTTGGAGATAGTTGTAGTAAGTGTACTAAATTTAGACTTTTGAATCAATCATCTAGAAAGTTTTAACAGATATAATGAAAGTGAAAGAAAAATTGTATCCCATATTTGGAGTATTTCTGTATGCATTCTAAAATTTGGTCATCATGTACAGTATTATTGCTTCAAAAACCGATTTGCTAATTTTTTAAATTACTATTGATAGTAGGTTAATATATGTGAAAGCATTTTCTCTATTCTATATGTCTTCATTCTATTTAAGGCACATGAAGTTTTATGCCTAGAGATGCTCACTTTGCTCCTGGAAAGACCAACAGATGATAGTGTTGAAGTAGCTATTGGTTTCCTCAAGGAATGTGGCCTCAAATTAACACAAGTGTCACCAAGAGGAATCAATGGTAAGTATATGCCTTTGGTTTGACATTGAGCTTCATTTGAGTATTATAATATTTTTTGCTTATTTTATTGGTTTTTTTTCTTTCACTTTCACTTTAGCTATATTTGAGCGCCTCCGAAACATTCTTCATGAGTCTGAAATTGACAAAAGAGTTCAATATATGATTGAAGTGATGTTTGCTGTACGGAAGGATGGATTCAAAGACCACCCTGTTATCCTAGAGGGACTGGACTTAGTGGAAGAAGATGATCAATTCACCCATATGCTCCCTCTGGAGGATGACTATAATCCAGAAGATGTTCTTAGTGAGTTGGATGGTGGGGGGCGGAGGAAGTTGGGAAGTAGGACACCAACAAATGTAAATATAGAAAATAAATAATTTTTAACTTATTTTTTCAAGATGTTTTCAAGATGGATCCTAATTTTATGGAGAATGAAGAGAAGTACAAAGCTATTAAGAAAGGTATGTAGAATTTAATAATCTATTTTGGATAAGTAGAAACAATTTGTGTAGTTCTATTAATACTAATAGAAAGGTTTAGATTATTGACCTAATGAAATCTCTGCTCTTAGGAAGCCATTCTCCTCACTATTTTCCCATGCATCATTTTTCTGTCTAGTGCTGTTTGTGGTCTACTTCATTCTAAATTATTTACCTTATTATCCCTGTCCTCTTTCCCTCTATTCAAATCATACAGACCTTACTTAAGTCTCTTTCCTCTTAAGAAATGTCCGTATAGGGGTTCCTGAGTGGCTGGCTCAGTTGATTGAGCATCCAACTCTTGGTTTCAGTTCTGGTCATGATCTCAAGGTCCTGAGATCAAGGTGGGCTGTATGCTTAGTGAGGCATCAGCTTGAGATTCTCTTCCTCTCCTTCCCCTCTGTCTGTGCATTCTTGCTCTCTCTCTCTCAAATAAATCTTAAAAAATAAAGTCCCTATATTACTAGTGGCCTTTATTTTAACTTCACTACCACGTACGAATTGGTGCTTAAATTGACACCCAGTTTAATATTCAACTAGATATTATGCTTTATGATTTCTTGAGAGTAAGTTGATATCCTGATAAAATCAATCACAATTCCAGATAGGCTATTAGTGCTCGAAAAATTAATAAATTAATTATTATTATTTTTATGTCATCAATATATTATGAGCACTAACTTTGGATAGACTTTGGTTTGTATTTTGTCTGTGCCATTACTAGCTGAGTGACCTGGAACAAATTACTTGTTTGACGTCAGTGTTACTTGTTTGTTTAAGGATAAGTAAAAAATATTGTGCTTTGTATTATCACAGGGCAAGTATTTAGGTAATGCACTTTTTTTTTTTTGACATTTGTGTCATTTTTCTTCTAAAGCTAATTTTCAGGGCTATCTGTATAATTATAATTTTATGGGTTCATTTCCCTTGAGTTGTGATTTTATATGAGAAGTATTTACCGGTTCTAAATCCTCTCCGGAAGAGAGAGCAGGAGCCCTAGAGCTCTGTCAATCTCCTGCATTCTGTGCTGTAGTCAGGCTTGGAAGTAGAATGAAATAGAAAGTAAGATGTAAGCAGCTTTCCATTTCTATGAATTACTATAAAAATCCCGGTTTCAATAAATAGATTACTCTCCTCAGGTGCCATTTCCTAGGGGCATTTCGTTGCAATAGCCGGATTCTTTTTGCTATTACAATTCAGTTTCTTAACATGAAGAATTCCTTAGACCCATTTTGCCTTCTTATGAACTTTCTTTACAGTATCACTCAAAAGATGCTAAATGTTCTTATGAAATTTTTATCATACCTCATATGAATTTTTTTTTTTTAACTTAGGAACTCCTCATCCATTTCTTTAGGATATCGGTGGTTGAACAATGCTAGGAAAGTAGTACTTTCTTTATTGTAGCACTTAAGCTCTTTGAACTTAAGTTCCCTTTATACTCTAGAAAAGTATTTAGGACTTCAAAGAGCTTTTTTGTTTTGTGGGTTACATCTGTTGACATTTACTTTATTAGAAATTGAAACTGATAATATTAAAAATACTGTATCATTTCAAAATTACAGAAACAGTATTCATATTATAAGTTATATACTTTTATGAAAATAACTACTTTGTGAAACAAATTTAAGAAAAATGGCATGTTTTATATTTTATACAATTTAATGTCTGACTTAATAGAAAATCGATTTTCATATTGTTTGTGATTTCAGTCTATTGCAATAAGTTGTTTTGATTGAAGTATATGAAGAAAATAGGTAATATGAGGTTGGAAAAGAGATAAGTATTTTAATAGCCTTTTCAGATAATGTGTATGTTTTTCCTTAGTACTATGCCAGTATTTAAGGCTAATCGTTTCTTAAAGATTAAGTGGAATGTGAAACCTGAAACAATATTCATGAATCTTCATATTCTAATTCATTAAATTCCATTGGCCTCTCACTTTGAATGGATCTTTTACCCATGCTTGATTTTCCAACATGTTCAATTGGTCATTTAGAAAATGCCCATTCACCCAGTTATGCATGTCTTCTAGGTGTTAACATGTTAACATTATCAAAATTAAATGAACACATTAACACAATATCAAATCACATTTATTAGTATCACCTTAGAGAAGTCTAAGTATTGGGAAGCTGTCAAGCTTGGAGGAATGGATACCACTTCTCTAATTTTCTCCTGAGAGCTCTAATTTAATCATGGTAGTAAATACTGTTAATTATTTTCCTTGAAGTGACATTCTCACTTTGTATTTGGGAAAATGTCTGCCAAATACCTAACAAGTAATTCTCTCTTCTATCAAGTAAAAAGAAAAAATCACTGATTCACCTTGCAAGTCAAAGAGTTTCACAAGTGCTTTTCTTTGAGATAACCATCACGTGACAGTGTGCATCTGTCTTTAACAGAAGGGCTGTGTACGAATTCATCTTTTGCTACTCAGATGATTATATATGCTTACATTTCGGGGTGAGATTCAGTGAAGTTAGCAGTTCTCTACTCCTTCCTCAAAGGCATTATCAAGTCAAACTGGCTCTTCTCCCACCTCTGAGAGTATGGCAGTAAAGAGCACAGTGATGGCTGGTGCACTTTGGTGCCTTGATTCGTGCTCCGGTTGCAGCAGCTTCAACCCTCATTGCTTTTGGACCTTTGTAGAAGGCAGCACAAAGAAAGGCAGATAATGTCTGGGTATTGTTATGAAAGTAGTTGTGACCTCACAAATCACCTGGCAGGTGTCACTGATCCCCCTGGGGGGATCAGACTATATACCTTGAAACCACTGCTTCGTTCAGTTAATGAAATCCAGTTGTCATTGCTAAGTAATTTCAGTAAGTAGATTCTCAAGTGGAGAGATGAGGAGAGGATGATGTAAACGACTAGACAATTCATTTGACCTTCATTCTTTCATGAAATGTTCTTCTAGAACTGGCATAAAAAAAAATGGCCACAGCAGGAAGTGGGCACAGCTTTAGTAATTAGCACCTTAGAGTGACCCAGGTGCACTTGAGTTTTAGGTCTTACAGCATTTGGGAAAACAGCAGGAGTGCCTGTCTTCCTACTATTGAATACTAAATAGTTTCCTCTCTTAAAAGTCTGTCTAAGCCACATTATGTAATAGGAAACTAGACACTTTAGATTATTTCTTGAAGTCACATTTGTCAGAAATATTCTTGGGATTTGTGTGTCAGCTAAGGGCTGAATGACAACTTTTCATTTTAATAAAATGATTTATTTTTCATAATGTGAAGTTTACTGAGAACATTAAATATTATATGTAGAGCCTGTATAATGCTCACTTAAATATAAGAACTTGGAGTTTCCCTAAAATTAAGTTCACTCTAAAAATTTATCATAAAAACTCTGATTGTAAAGGAAATGCAAAATACAGTGTTAGCCAGCTTTATAAAATCTTTTATCATATAACAGCACACACCATTGGGCAAAATATAACATTAGTTTTTCTCATTGTTTGTTGTTGTGTTTTTTTTGTTGTTGTTTTTTTGTTGTTGTTGTTGTTTTAAGATTTTATTTACTCATGAGAGAGAGAGAGAGGCAGAGACACAGGCAAAGGGAGAAGCAGGCTCCATGCAGGGAACCGATGTGGGACTTGATCCTGGCACTCCAGGATCACGCCCTGAGCCTAAGGCAGATGCTCAACGACTGAGCCACCCAGGCATCCCAGTTTTTCTCATTTCTCAACTATTAATATGATGACTGGCCTTTATGTTGTCTCTTATTTACATCATTGTTTTCATCTAGTTTTAGACGTGAGTTGTATTTTAAGTGATTTTCCAGATGAAGTGTTCATCTTACCAATTTTTTAAAGGCTTTTAAACTTATGCTTCTGATTACATATGGAATGTCTTGAGATTCATTGTAATGTTCTATTTAATAGGTATGTTTTAGAATAAAAATCTCATTATTATTTATTCAAAGTAAACACTAAATTATGCACTTAAATTTTTCTCTCTTTGTCTTTCAGAAAACATTTGTAGCCTAAATTCTTGCTTTCTATATCTAGCCTTAGACTTGTATAATAGAGTGTCTCCTTTCTGATGCTGAACTAAAATTTTTTGACTCCAGTATTCTAGTTTCCATTTATAATTTGTTTTTCTGGTGCTCTTGCTCTTTTGGAAAACCTTCATCTACTTTTTGTTGTTCTTCTCATCCCTTATTTTATGACCAGTTTCTACCTGGCAGAAGAATGAGGATGCCTGGGTGGCTCAGTGGTTGAGCATTTGCCTTTAGCTCAGGTCGTGATCCTAGGATTCTGGGATCGAGTCCCACAACAGGCTCCCCATAGGGAGCCTGCTTCTCTCTCTGCCTATGTCTCTGCCTCTCTCTGTGTGTCTATGTCTCTGCCCCTCTCTCTGTCTCTCATGAACAAATAAATAAAATCTTTAACAAAAGAAAAAAAGAAGAAGGATACATATGGCTCTCTGACCACCTAGGCAATAATATGAGGCCCCTGTGCTCACTTTCTTGGGTAATAAACTGTAGCCACTGTGGATTTTGGTGAACTGAGAATTATCTTCTCAGAATGAGATTCATGTTTATCACTTTCTCCTTAATATTTTCCTATACTGTGTTCTTGTAGAAATTCTTGATGAGGGAGATAGTGACTCAAACACAGACCAAGATGCTGGAAGCAGTGAAGAAGAGGAAGAAGAAGAGGACGAAGAAGGAGAAGAAGATGAAGAAGGTAAAAGTATGGCTCGTTCAAATACTACTTGTCAAATACTCTGAAGTTTAATTCTTAATGTAATCCTCTAAAATAGTGGTTCTGGATCAGTGGAGGTCTGGCGGCTGCTGCTGGCTTCTGATGGGTCAAGGCTAGGGATGCTGTTAAACATCCTACAAGTTATAAGACTGTCCCCTTGCCCCCGCCACAACACGGTATTACCTAGCTGGAAATATCAGTATTGCTAAGTTGAAAAACCCTGCTCTAAAAATATTAAACAAGGAAATCATTTTTTAATATCAGCATAATTTTGACATTTAATGCCTTTGAGTATAAACTATGAATAACATGCATTCATGTCGAGTAATTTCTGCAACCCTGATATGAATGTGACAGATGAGAGTGGCAAGGTATTTGCTATTCATTTTGGCAAAATAGAGAGGGGGAGGCCAAAATCTGTGTTTGTACAAAGCAGACATGATGTACTTCTCCTTCAGCTTTGATTGCTTTATTTCATAGAAAAATGAGCTCAGAACTTTATTTTGGTTAAGTCTTAGTTAAGACATTAGAACATACATAAACCTGGTCATTATTTACTTATATTACATATTTGAAAATATTAAAAGTATGTCTTTCCATTCTAGGACATGATATATTTTAGTTTTGTCTTAAAGTGTAATTATTCTTCTACAACATATTTAATAAAAACAAATTTAATTTTTTTCAGTGTCTTTCTTACTTAAAACATTTCCTAACTATGTACTACATACATTAAACTTTAGAATTTCTTTGTTTTCTGTGAAAATACTGTTCAAATAAAAACTATCAAATATTTATAGGGGAAGAAAATTCATTAGATAAGAGAAAATTTTGACAAACACACATATTTATATTGAACCCATCTAGTCTGTCATGATCCAGTGTTCTCTGAAACTGAATTTCTATCCATAATTTACCATTCTTCCAAATTATCAAAATACTGTTTATAGCTCTAAAAATAATATTTCACCAAACAACAGCATGAGTGCTGCCTCTTATAATATCTAAATGAGCAGGAGACACAGAAACAAAAATAATATTTCTGGCTTGATTTCTGACTTCTTTGAACTGACAAAAGTTATTAAAATACTCTAAGATGCAGAAGACAAGAAATGGATACTTTGAGCTCTGCAAATGCTTTGGTGTAGAAAGCAGTGTAGAAAAGAGTATTGTTAAACTCATAGATTCTAAATATTTATGAAAAATTATCATCTAGAGATATATTTTCAGTCCTTCATGTTTATTTTTGTAGTTTCATAACTTCATTATGTTTAATTTCTTTCAGGACAAAAAGTGACTATTCATGACAAAACAGAAATTAATCTAGTTTCATTTCGGCGTACAATTTATCTTGCTATTCAGTCAAGGTAAGAAGATACTGCCTCTCAATTGATCCTTTTTTTTTTTTTAAGATTTTATTTATTCATTTATTTAAGAGAGACAGAGAGAGAGAGAGAGAGAGAGAGAGAGAGAAAGGCAGAGACACAGACAGAGGGAGAAGCAGGCTCCATGCAGGGAGCCCGACATGGGACTCGATCCCAGGTCTCCAGGACCACACCCTGGGCTGAAGGCGGCACTAAACCTCTGAGCCAGCCGGGCTGCCCCAATCCTTAATTTTGATAGGGGATGGACAAGAATGGGATTTTTAGAATCTGATGACAGAAAACTAGATATTCTCAAACTATCTGCCCAACCTCATAGATCCCTGCTGTTGCTTCTTTGCGTCACAAGAAAATTATCTTTACTTATTTGGAAGGTCTTATTGTGTTACATAATTAAATGGATTTTTTTTTAACTGTGTCATTCCTTATAGTTAAGTATCACTAATAAGAACCTGAAGATAATTCTGTATTATAGAGCTGGCACAGTATATAATTATAGTGAAGATATATTATTTTTTTATTTGGTTTCTAATTCTGATTCTAAGCAGAGAAGCACAGAGATAACTTTTGGATGCTGATTTTTTTGTGTGCACATGGAAATGAATATAAATGGAAATAGGAATTAGGAAGGTTTTGAGGATCCTTTGAAGTAATGTTAAGTAAGAACTACTGTGATGTCATGTGAATATCCTATTCCCTTTGAAGGCTGTGAGTTTGGTTTGGAAGAGAAATAAATGAAATATTAAATGCTTAGTACATCTGTTTTTTATGCGAATCAACCTATTGATTTAATGGGCACAGTGTTTACATTTTGCACTGGAGGAGGAATATTTTCTCAGTTTTGTTTTCTTACTAGGTTTTGTATATTTCCATTTAGTATGATGTAATAGCAAAAATGATTCATACGTAGGAGTCATCCTGTTTTTATTCTGTCTGAAAACTTTTTGGCTTAGATTCATCTTCAGAAAGATGTTAAAAAGCAAAACATTAGCTAGAAATATTTTTGGTTTATCCTTACCTATTTCTTTGCCTTTCACATGAAAGAAAAATCTATTAACTTTTTTCTTACAAACTTAAAGTGGAAAATGAGAATTTTTTTGTTATAGGTAAGAATTCTTAGAGTTTGACCTTTATCCTTTTCTAGAAATTCAACAGTAATCTGTTGTAAACAGCAGATTTACTGTTTTAATATTGCTGTTAACTTTGAAGAGTTACAGGAGAGTTCTTTGAATAATTATTTAAAGGAAACTGTTTTTTAGTTTACCAAACCTTAATAATCCTTGAATCACACAAAAGATTTGAAAAATAAAAGCATTAGGTGACAATCACAATTATAGAGTAGTACCAACACTGGTAACAGGAACACTGTTTTAGGTGTTGGTATTTAAGAGTTCTGAGCCCCCCGATGCCTAGTAAAAGTAATTTCTATATGACAAAGTTTACGATACTTAATATCTCATACATATTTTAGGAAAGAACCTCAAAGACTTTGATAGTGGTTAAAGGACATGGTTGGGGGATTCATGTAATGGGATCTTGAAATACAAAGTTATTGAATAAATAACACTCTAGACTAATAAGTGCTATTGTTAGTCATTAAAACAACTGAAATGAGCCCCCCCCTCCCTCCCAAAGCAACAGTACTCAGTACTAATGGTTTTAGTGAGATACAGGTACAGGGAATTTAAGTGTATACACTCTTCATGGAAAGCCTTTTGATAACATGAACCAAGGGCTTAGTGTTCATACCATTTGACCATTCTCTGTTATATTTCTTAAAGAAATATATATTGATAGAGAATTATATATAGAATTGTTCATTATGGGGGGGAAAAAAAGACCATCAATACAAATAATCCAATACAAATAATCAAATGTCCATTTTATGCCACCATTGAAAGTTAGGCTAATGGGAAATTATTATTGATGCAGGCAAGTGGTCTGACTTAATGTGAAGTAGGGCAAAAATTGTACAGACTGTATAGTACTGCACCAGTAGTATTATCTTAACTGTTGAAATAGGTAGACAGATTCTAGAAGGAATGCATTAACATGCCATTACCAGTAACATAAACAATAGTTGTCTTGAGAGGAGATTGGATTATAGATTTTTTTGCGTCTGTTTTCCAGTTTTTTGTATTTTTCAAAAGTCTTATGTTTATAGTTACAGCAGCCTCTACCAAATATAAATCAATAACGGAATGTAATCAAGTCAGATGGCAATGAGGGCATTTTATACAGTTTGTTTTTGGAATTCTTGCACACAAAACTAAGGTCTGACAACTGAACTGTGTGGTGACTTTATTTTTTTTAATTTCTTTCCTTTTAGACTTGTTGACTGATCTCACTTAGCACCCTTACCTTTTTTTTTACTATCCTGGCTTCTAAATGACCCTCTCTCATTTACACAAAACAAAATCAGACAATTGGTTTTGTTATTGAAAAGTAAACATTCTTGTTTGTTCTTGTTTTTAAATGATGTTCCTCTCTGATTTTGCATTTTTGAAGCTGTAGCATCAGAAGGAGGTGGGACTATCATTTTCCCACCAGAGTTTCTTAGATTGGAAATATTAACAAAACCGTTAGTAAACACAACTGAAAAACTAGCATCATGTAAAATCACTTTTCTTACCCTTCCTTCAGTCACTGTTTTTATGTGTTGCACCTGAAATTCAGAGAGGCCTGGGTGACTCAGAGTTTGAACGTCTGCCTTTGGCTCAGATCCCAAAGGCATGATTGCGGGGCCTGGGATCAAGTCCTGCATCAGGTTCCCTGCCTATGTCTCTGCCTGTGTCTCTGCCTCTCTCTCTGTGTGTGTCATCAATAAATAAATAAATTATTCAAAAAAAAAAAAAAACCTGAAATTCATTTGATTTAGCAACCAAAAGTAACTGAAATATCAAGCAAATTTAATTCATTTAATTTTTACATTTAGTACAACTTCAAAACAATCTTGGTGTAGGGAGTTAACACTTAAAACAAGAACAAGAAAAATAGACTATCACATAGCTAACTTTCTCACTGATTCCTGTCAGATAAAGGGAAGTTATAAAATATTTTTAACTAATTCATTTTTCAGAAATTGCAGGGTTTTTTCATGCATACTAATTCTGTTTTTAAAAAATTAGAATTAGAAAAGAAAATATCAAATCTTTAAAAATACTTTTTGGTGATATTGCTATATTGTTGAAGTTTATCAACTACAGTTTAATATTTTAATCTTCGTGCCAGATACTGTTTAATATTACCTGTTGTGAAAGCTCTTTCTGATATATTTCTTTTTTCATTTTAGTTTTTTCTTTTTAATTCCATTACATAGTACCATCCTGGGTCATTACTCTCTTATGCTTATGAAACTCAATAAATATCAGAAGCTGAGGAATCAGATGAACTATAAAACTAAATTCATAGTCATCCTATTTCAGTGGCTGATTATTTTATATGCTTGTTACCAAAGAATGAAGGTTTGAACAGTCTACAAAAAGCGCATATATATTAGCATTTTTCCTGAATTGAACTCACATTAAATTTGATAATTCTCTTAAGCATATTGGAGATTTTTTTTTTTTTAACGATTTTATTTACTCATGAGAGACACAGAGAGCGAGAGAGAGAGAGGCAGAGACACAGGCAGAGGGAGAGGCAGGCTCCATGCAGGGAGCCCGATGTGGGACTTGATCCCAGGACTCCAGGATCACGCCCTGGGCCGAAGGCAGGCGCTAAACTGCTGAGCCACCCAGGGATCCCTTCATATTGGAGATATTTTTAATGAAACTTATATGAATGTAGTATAAAAGCAATTTTGTTTTCCTTATAAGTGATTTTGGTTATTTACTATATATATATACTTAGTTTTTGAAAATGTAGAAGCACTGTGTTTGGGTATGAATCAAGATAACTTATAAATGTGGTTAAGCACTGGATGTCATGCTGGGCTCTGGAGCATCTTTTACCTCTTCCTGACTTGGGTCAGAGATAAATGGAAATATTTAGCAATGTCATAAAAATGTGTCTACTTTTTGTCTATGTATTTGCCCAGTTTGGACACTTTATATAAATGGAATCATACTTTATGTGATCTTTTATATCTGACTTTTTCACTTCATATAATTCAGAGTGCATCCATGTTGTGTGTATCTCAGTAAGTACTTCATTCTTTGTAGAGTTAAGAGCAATGTCTTTTCTATATACACAATTCAGGACTATGAAGTTACAGTAAAAAATTTATTTAAAACCATTATTAAAATAAGGTCCTTGTATGATTTAACAATGCGGTGAGTTTTTAACCTAACTCTTATGACTATTTTATCTCTACAGTTTAGATTTTGAAGAATGTGCTCACAAATTGCTGAAAATGGAGTTCCCTGAAAGCCAAACAGTAAGTCAATATTTTTTTTCTATTAGGAAATGATATTAGTTATAAAAATGTTTAAGACAGTTAATAGGTATTATGAATTGAAACAATATCTATAACGTCGATATTCTGAAATTTTAAAATAACTTAAAACTTAGTTCTGAGGTGTTTCATAAATGCTACTCATTGCAGTGAATTAAATGGTCTGCTTTCATGGGATGTGGGAAAAGGAGCCAGTCTCTCTGACCCACTGCACTTTACATAAATTTCCTAGTGGTTGCCTGTAAATCAAATGGTAGCTTAAAATACAATAGGAAACTTGTTCTTTAATGAATTGCCTAGTCTGTCTTCTTAATGTACTAAAGCATTCTTTTCTGGTAGAAATTATAATGATTACCGCACATGTTGCTACGTTGCTTTAATTGGCTATAGAAGAATCTGTCTTTTTTTCTTTTATTCATTATCTCAGCAAAATGTATTCTGCGTACACTACATGTCAGACACTCTGCAGGGTTTCAGGAATTCAGTAATCCACAAAGTATATTATATTAAGCCCCCTCTTGATGGGTGGAACTCATAATCTTATAACTTAGTGTATACTTCACTGTTAAAAGTATCATAGAACCCTAATGCCAACAATAATAAAGACTAGATTGAGTAGGTTATCTTGGGTGTTTTTTCAGTTGTATTCTTACGTATATTCCTCCCTGCCCATCCACATTTTAAATCCTTGGAACATGAGCCAAGGCTTTTAGGGTTTTGCTTTTCACACGTTGCTTTACTTGCTTTACTTTATATATTCAACTCTAGGCTCTTTGGTTTCTATTTCTAAAAGATCTTGACTATCTGATCTGTTCCTGTTTGGTATAAGTGATTTGCCTTAAGGCTTTAATTATGATCTGTTATGGGAATTAGCAGACTGTAGCCCAGGCCCACTACCCGTTTTTTGTGAATAAAACTTTAATGGTGGAATACAGCCGTACCCATAGGTTGGTGTATTATGTATACTTGTTTTCACCCTATGGCAGCAGAATTGATTGGTTGCAACAGAAACCTTATGGCCTTTAAAGCCTAAAATATTTACCATCTGACCTTTAATTTAAAAAGTTTACCAGCCTTTTTCTAGATGACGGATTTCTTCTTAATCCTATGGTATGTAATTTTGAGAAGAAATTGTTCTTTTCAAATGTAAAAAGTTCTTATTTCCCTCTTAAAGTTTGTTTATTGGTATATTAGTAACAGTGTACCTATTGGTACCCTGGGTGCACTTCATGTGTTCACTTTTGAAAGGAAATAAATTAGTGAATTAACCTTTAAAATTATAATTGAAACTGAAATTACTGTATGATCTTTTCACATTATTTGAGGAATATAATTAAGTCATTAAGTTTTATTAATATTAATTCAGAGGATAGTTGTTCTAGAACTAATCTCAACATATTTTGATAGCAATTGGAAGTGTCTTCGTGCATCTATTTTCATGCACTCAAAAGACTGTCCTAAAATTGCTATAATATTTAATTAAAATCTTAAAATATTTAATTATTATAAGCCACAGGGAATAACTCTTATAATTGCATTTAGTCTAGGGAAGAAAGAAAGTTGTTTTGCAAGTAGCACTGACTTTATTAGCAGTGCTATCAGCATAATACCACATTATATTGTTTAAAACCTGATTAACTGTTATGTTATTGTAAAATACAGTTTTGGTAGAAAGAGTTGAAAATGCATTTTAATATATCAAATTAACATAATATTGCAGAACTCCGAAAAACCTCATTTTAACTTTTTAGTACTATATTAAATTTTGACAAAGTATATCTTTTCAGGACTTACACATTAGTAAGTGTTTTTATTTAATTGAGGTGACTTGTGACTAATCATAAAAAAATAATTTAGCAATGTAATGACATCTAAAAACAACTTCATATTGTGAATTAAGGCCTTTTGAGTATACTGTTTTATACGTAGATGATCAGTTTCCAGAACAGTGGTGTCCAATAGAACTTTCTGCAGTGCTGAAAGTATTTATATATATTCTACACTGTCTAATACAGTAGCCACTAGTCAGTCACATGTGGCTTTTGAGTACTGAAAATGTGACCGAAGAACTAAAATTTTAATTTTATGTAATGTTATTTAACTAATTAGCTAGAGGTTACCATGCTAGACAGTATAGTTCTAGAGTCTATTCTGTGCTTCTTTGGGACCCTTTGCCTCCCTCTTGCACATAGATATATGCAGTAAATATTATAGACCTGAGCTTTAAAAATACAATATTTACTTAGGTTATATCTCATGTTAAATATGACAAAATGTCAAAATTGCTAATTGAAAATACAAAGGTAAAATTAAATAGCAGTAAAAATGAACTGAAAGGGTATAATATATATGTATATAATTAGATGTATGTGTGTAACACTTATTTTGAGGCTAGGAAATCCAGCTATAGAGATACTTCTTCTTTTAAATATATTTTTTTATTAAAGAATATCTTTTAAGTTAACATAGCTGTGTTTATTTATGGTTCTGTAAAGACTCATGTTCTAGCTCTTCCATAGTAATTAAATACATTCCTTAATTAATTGAGCTTAAAGGTGTTTAACTGAATTGTTAGGTGGCATATTGATGATCTGTATTTTTAAAGATTTTGTGTAAAGTCTTTTTAGAAAATCTATTCAATCTCTTCTTGGTGTTATCTGTTTCATATAGTAGATTTTCTTGAAGTAGTTCATACTTAATATGAATTTAGAATTTTATAATCAATCTAATTAGCTTAGATGATAATGGAAACTGTCAGCCAGGCTGAAGGCTTTGAAAGACTGTATAGGCTTGACATAGATTGAATCATTTGGTCTTAGTAACATAAGCTCACAAAGGTTCGGAAGTTCTGTATGCTTAAACCCTTATTTATAAATTCAAGCTGTCTCTATCGTATTGATAAGTTGTCATATAGTATAGCATGGATTGTGTTTTGAATCATTAATGCAATTTTCCTTCCAAATAGAAAGAACTCTGCAACATGATACTTGACTGCTGTGCCCAACAAAGGACATATGAGAAATTTTTTGGCTTATTAGCTGGGGTGAGTTCAGCCTCATTCTTCTTGTTGGAATTTTAATAGAATCACTAAGGGAATCCTTAACATGAATATTGTGAATTAATGTGTCTGTTTTGTGGTCTTGTCTAATGTAATAGCAAATCTTTGCTCAAAACTGATCGCTCTTTCCTTCCTCGGGTTTCCCATCCTCTGTTGTTTCCTCCTTTCCTGCTTCATTTTGTAGTGCCTTATTAGCATTGCATATGATTCTTCCAGAACTTTCTGAAATTCTATATGCTTTGTAACAATTTCCCAAAGAGGACAATTAAATGTTGCCTTTTCAAAATCTCAGAACAGTTTCTGAAGTCAAGTACATGTTCAGGCAACACAAATAGACCATGAGCTAAAATAAAATAAGTTTTTAAATCTAAACTCTACCCACGGAGAAGTATATTTGTATAGTATGCAAATGTATGTGTCTATGATAAGCTACCTGTATAATTTTGTTTTAGTGTATAAATCCCAGGTAAATAGGGATGATATATATTACCTTCCCTTTTAAGCATTCCATCATACAGCACAAAAAGATTGATATGATATATAAAGTGTTTACTAATTTTTGATTCAGTAAATTTAGGAGGATCTGATATGCTCATAATGGTATTGACAGTCAATTTTTAGTGGTGTTGACATTCAATTTTTTTTAATTTATTAGCGATTTTGCATGCTGAAAAAAGAATACATGGAATCCTTTGAAAGTATATTCAAAGAACAGTATGATACCATCCATCGCTTGGAAACAAACAAATTGAGAAATGTTGCTAAGATGTTTGCTCACCTTTTATACACTGATTCACTTCCATGGAGTGTAAGTAGATGGGTTGATATTTATACTTCTTTCCCAATCCCATTATTCACGAATAGGTATTAATGTATAATATAATCCTACTTTTCCTATGTAGGAAAAGTACATTAAAATGAAATATGTAGCAAACTTTTACTGTAATGACTGTCTTTGAGATTATATTCATATAACACAATATCAAAAAGCTAAGTAAATAGCATGAGTGTAAGAACTACAATACCATCCTAAGCGATTTTAGCAGTCCAAACATCACAGTGCTTTTTAATAGTGATGGCTAATGGTGTTTTCAGGAAAAACAGATTTTCATCTTCTCTCTGTGCGCACACATGCACATACACACTCATGCTCACATACAACAGTAGTTTGGTGGTCATGCATCTTTTAGTCATAGTTATTTAGAACAAGTTAAGATATCCGTGATACACAGGTGTGTACTGGATTGGAATTTGAAACACATTCATGAAGCTGGCATTTATTGTACAACTGCTGTTCATCCAACAACCATTCATTCAGTTACCAACTATATGCCCAGTCACTTGAGAGAGATACTGGGCATCCATAGTGAATTATATATGATCTCTGGTTTCAAGGAGCTTATTACCATAGAAGAACTACATAAGGTAAGATAGATATGCCCATAACGCCAATACAAAATAAAACGTGATAGGTTCTAAGAAAAGTGAAGTTGAAAGAAAGAAGTTGCATCCAAGAGGAAAGAGAGAAGAGGATCACATTGTAGAATACCACAACCTGATGGTAGAATGAAGCAGCAAAGTGAGCTCATAACATTAGGTAGATTATTGTAATGTAAGTACTAAGTATGTCTAGCTGCATTGATAGGCACTTTGTAAGCTGACCTAGGAGCCTGATCATAATAACTTTTTTCTTCTTTTCCTCCTCGGGGAATGAAAATGAAATCAAGGTTTTAAATAATCGAAGCAAATGGGTTCCTGGAACACAGAACTCATAAAAACTGGAGGTTCCTTGTATTTTTATTTGTCTTAAAACATCTCTCCATGGCTTCCATTTTAAGCCTCAATCTTAGCATTCACAACAAACCATCATTCTTGCTGTCTTTACCCTTCTTGTATATGTACTATACAAAACTATAGCCTAATGCTCTAAGTGGCATTTTGCCCCAAACCCTTAGACATCCACATTTTGATGAGTGAGTTTTAGAAGCTAGTAATCTTTTCTTCAGCATTATATACTCACAGCAGGATATATCTCTGCTATAAAAAGCACATTACTCAAGAAAGAATGAACTCTATTTCTGTAGCATCTTAGCATTATGAAAATTATCATGGAGAGGTAGTCTTAAATTTGGCCAAGAAGTATTACTTACTAGGACAAAGAATGATATTCACAGATCATTCTGTAGAGACACTTAGAGTCATAAATGTTGGTCATTTTGTCTTTTGAATAAAATAAAATCGTCTTCTCATTTTAATTTTCAGGTTCTCGAATGTATAAAGCTGAGTGAAGAAACCACTACGTCATCCAGTAGAATTTTTGTTAAGATATTTTTCCAAGAACTGTGTGAATATATGGGTCTTCCTAAACTTAATGCAAGATTAAAGGATGAGTAAGTTTATCATTATGCATTTTTCATTCTTACTGTCCTCAGGAATTTTCCTTCCTTGTAGCAACAGAAGTCTACCCTTGGTTGTAAAAACAAGAGTTAAGCCCCTAGGACTTTCTTCATCCATTAATCACTACTCTTGAGTCTCATGTTCTGTGGCACAGGACAACATGCAGTTTTTAATGATGGATTTTAGTTCCAGTGGAAGAAACACAGAATTAATGCCTCTTTTAGTTTAGTTTAGAACACACTTTGCATTTTCACTGGAGTTTTCTAGTAGTGAGTACTTACGGTTTTATTTTTATTTTTAACCCTAATCTTGAGCCTTAGAAAATTAATTTTTTGTTATCAGTGAACAATTGTGAAGATATATAGATGACTCAGTCATGTAATGAATAGTTCAAATTATGACACTGAATGAGGGTCTTGTTCCAGGACTATCCTATAAATCCCTATCTCAGCTTTCTTCTTTCTTGTTTACTCAGATTACCATTGCCACTCACATTGACTTCTACTTCATTCACACTACTGAATCATCCTTTCAGATTTCCTAGTGACTACCTGCCAAGTTGAGTACTTTTTCTCAGTCCTCATGCCCTTGGGCTTTCCAGCCTTATTTACCCAGTTGACCATTTGCTTACTGTGGCTTCTCTCTTCTCATTCTGTCTCACTCTTCATGGTCTCTACTCTTCAGCCTACCTCTCCTCTTTGCCACAGTTTCAATTTGTTTTCAAAATGCCCTCTCTGGGTTATTCCATCTGCTCCCCTTGGCTTCATAGACTAATTTTTGGTCCCTGTTTATGTCACCAGGTTTATCTCCTTCCTTCTCACAGGCTGCACCACCATTGCTCAGTGCATTCATGTTTCCTTGCCTCTGTTTCCAGAGCTAGAAATCCCCTCTCTTGGTCTATCCAGCAAACTCTTAACCATTCTCCTTATATGTCACTTTTTTCTATGAAAGAGTTTGTCCTGGTTCTACTGGTTCATCATTCAGTGTAGCACTCCGAACCATGTCCAGACCACTTTGTATTCATGTTTTGTTTGTTCCCCTCCCTAGAAGTAATGATTATATGCAGCCTTCATCCATGATTTTTCCCTTTAGTTGACTATTTTTACCCTATCCTTCAGTGCCATACACAGTGCTGCGTGTGTTTGTGTGTCTGTATGTGTGTATTTATATATAAATAAAACAGAGAAGATTTGTTTTTACTTGGTCTTATATATGTTCACATACTATATGTGTGTGTGTGTGTTATTATGCAATATATGTATGTGTGATGTATGAAAAAGTTTTTAAAAACCTCTGTGGGGTGCCTGGGTGGTTCAGTCAAGTAAGCGTCTGACTCTTGGTTTCAGCTCAGGTCACAGTCATGGTTGTGAGAACGGTTTTGGGGCTCCATGCTCCGTGAAGAGTCTACTTGAGATTCTGTCTCTCCCTTCATTCCCCCCACCCCGCATGCACACACACTCTCTCTTGCTCTCTCTCTCTCAAATAAATGATTCTTTTAAAAAACCTCCTCTGTTGTAAGTTTAATAAATTATGACTTGACCCTACTCATTTCATTTAGATAGCATATTGCCTGACCTAATAAATGATATAAATCACTTGATTCTGTTTCATTTATTTAATAATACATAGAAAATCTGAAAAAATGACTGTATACAAACTTTGCCTTTTTATCATTAAGCAATATATTCTGTTTTGTTCATTTTTTTTCTTGTTTTAGAACCCTCCAGCCATTTTTTGAAGGGTTATTACCCCGAGATAATCCAAGAAACACTCGGTTTGCCATCAACTTCTTTACTTCTATAGGTCTTGGAGGTTTAACGTAAGGATAATTTTCAGAATTTTATTTCCATCTTAAAAAATTATCTCACAGTTGCCCTTGAAGCAGACACTAACAGATTATATCTTTAATTAGGGATGAATTGCGTGAGCATCTCAAAAATACACCAAAGGTCATTGTGGCACAGAAACCAGATGTTGAGCCAAATAAGTCCTCCCCTTCCTCTTCCTCTTCTGCATCCTCCTCTTCAGAGTCTGACTCCTCTGCCTCTGATTCGGACAGCAGTGACAGCAGTTCAGAGTCTTCCAGTGAAGAGAGCGATTCTTCATCCAGCAGTAGTCAGAGCTCTGCTTCAGGTATGGAAACTCATTTATAATTGATTGGGCTCTTTTCTAACAAGTTTATTGCTGATGATGTTTACACCGAGGGAAGAAAATAATTTGATTGTTTAATTATTTTAGAGTTTAGTTGTTTAAAAGCCACAATTAATAATATAAATGATCATCTATCGCTGCTGGAGTCTGTAGTGAATTGCATCATTTATAATGCTAGGATTACCTATTGGAATCCTCTTCATAGAAATGAAGATATTTCTTTGGCAAAATTTGTTTGAGTGATGACTGAACTACCATTCATTTATAATGCCTTTATGCCAGCTTATAGCTTTTCTGGCTATTAAATTTTATTTATTTCCTGTGTATTTTAAAGAAATTTTAGTTTTTTAATTTAATTAGTGAGGGTTTATATTAGTCATTGACATGTGCCATGCATTCAGTGCATACTTTGTAAGTGTACAGCTACATAAGTTTTCATGAAGAGAAGAGAACCATGTGCTCGCTGCCCATACCAGGAGTTACCAGTTACTGCCACTCCTGCCATCCACTGCCTCATGGCAGCTGCTGCTCTCATTTGTAATTCCATAATTAGTTGTGGCTGTTTTTAACCTTTTTTTTTTTAAGATTTTATTTATTTATTTATTTTTTAATTATTTGAGAGAGAGAGAGAGCGAGCAGAGACACAGGCAGAGGGAGAGGCAGGCTCCATGCAGGGAGCCTGACATGGGACTCGATCCCTGGTCTCCAGGATCAGGCCCTGGGCTGAAGATGGCGCTAAACCGCTGTGCCCAGGGTTCCCTGTTTTTACCTTTATAACAGTGTTTATAAACTCCTTTATCCTTGGCTTATCTTTCACAATTACTTTGTGAGATTCATCTGTAATATTGCATTTAGTTATAGTTCATTCAGTCTTACTGCTGTATAGTTTTCCACTGTATGAATATGCTGCAGTCTATTTACTCAGGAACAATTTAGATTTATAAATAGTCCTGTGAAAACTGTTATTCATATTGGGGATATATATATATATGAAATTTACACATGTGCATTTCACCTGGGTTCGTACTTAGAGAATCTCTGGGAACCACTGGGTTGTAGGTTATGTATTTAGCTTTAGTAGATACTGCCAGTTTTGTTTGTTTTTAAAAGACTCCGTGAGAGTCTTTTTTTTTTTTAAGATTTATTTATTTATGATAGAGAGAGAGGGAGAGGCAGAGGCAGAGGCACAGGAGGAGGGAGAAGCAGGCTTCATGCCTGGAGCCCGACACGGGACTCTATCCCGGGACTCCAGGATCGCGCTCTGGGTCAAAGGCAGGCACCAAACCGCTGAGCCATCCAGAGATCCCCGATACTGCCAGTTTTGCACATGGTTCTTTCAGTTTACCTCCCATCAGCCACGCTTGAGAGTTCCAGTAGCCCCCATCCTCACATCACTTCAGTTAGCTATCTTCTTCATTTTAACCATTTTGGTGGACATGTAACAGTATTGCATTGTGGTTGTAATTTGCATTTTTCTTGATCACTAATGAGGTTGAGCACTACCTTTTTATTGGCCATTTTCCTTTTGTTATGTGGCTGTTCAAGTCTTTTGCTACCCCCTTCCCTTTTCTTGTTTTATTATCTCTTCTATAAATTTGTAGGAGTTCTGTAGTTTTCTGGATATGTATCTTCTGTCACATACAAACATTGCAAAGAGCTAGTTCCATTCCATTCTTGTCTCTCCAGGCCTGTTCAGGCGCCAGATCTCTGCTGGTCTCTCTGACCCACAGCAGCAGCGCCGAATCAGCAGATGCCCAAAGGGAGAAAGTAGCTGTGGAATGTCAGCTTACCTCTCTATGGTCCTGCCTTCTCTTGAATCTTATCTTGGCCCTTATTCAACTTACAAGGAAATTGCAAATAGTACAGAGAATTCCCACGTAGCCTTCACCCAACTTCCCGTAAAGTTGGCATTTTGTGTAACCATAGTTCAATTATGAAAGCCAGGAAATTAACATTGGAACAATACATTAAATAAATTATTACTTGAATTTCACCAGTTTTTCCATTAATGTCTTTTTTCTTATTCCAGGATCCTACTTGAATTTGTTTCTTCTTAGTCCTCTGTAACCTGTGATAGTTCCTCTCTGGCTTTCCTTGGTTTTAATAGCTTTGATACTTTTGAAGTCCTCTGTTCAGATATTTTTTCCAATATCCCTAAATATGGAGATCTGTCTGATGTTTTTACATGATTGGAATGAGGTTATGCACTTTTGTACAGAGTACCATAGAAATGATGTATTCTTAGTGCATCTTGGAGTTCATAATATCGGTATGTCTTATTGGTGATATTAACTTTGATCACTTGGTTAAGGTGACATCTGCTGGATTTCTTCATGGAAACTCCTTTTCTCTATAGATTAATATCTTGTAGGGAGATAATTTGATACTTTGTTACGTCTCCTCTCTCTTCTCTTTCACTCTTCAATTTTAGCATACATCTTTGGATCTCGTCTGCAGCACTTAACTACTATGGTGTTTGCTAAATGTGATTTTTCCATTTGTCTTTTTTCTTCTACATTTAATAACTGTATTTCTTCTTTAAGAAAGAGTTGTCTCCCCCTCCCACCCCCATTTATTTATTAAGTATCTTTTATCAGTGTGAACTCAGTGGCTATTCATCTGAATGAATGAGTTAAAGTCCATTACTATCATTTATTTTGTTGTTCACGTCATTTCAGCTTTGGCAATCAGGAACTCCTTCACGTTGGCCCCTGTGTTCTTTCAACATACCCCTATCGTTTTTTTGAGCACTGCCTCTCTTCATAACATCTCAAGTTGTTCAAGATCTTTAGTGCCTTTAAGCAGAAAATTTTAAATCTTTCTCTGGCATTTCTAGTTGTTCTCAGCAGGGGCACTGGTCTCCACAGCTTTCTCCTTTCTCCCTGGGAATGGAAATACAGTAGTAAAGGATTTTTTCAAATGTGCAATTTTCTGAGATGGTCTGTTGTTTTCCCCAGGGTCAACTGTTTTTTTTCATCATAGTATCTTAGTCTAAAAATAAGAGATAGTCTAATTGTCTAAAATGCATATCATTTCTTATTTTTTAATGCATATTCCAGAGGCAGGAAAAAGTAGGTTGGAAGGTTGAACACTCTTGTTCTCTGGCTTGTTGCACTTAAAAGAGTATTACATACTGTTTGGCAGCCAGAATTGTGGGACTCTCAGTGTTTTATATTAGAACAAGATTGCATTTGCCCACGGGAAGTCTTATTCTTGAATTAAATATATTAGCATTGTTCATTTAATATTCACCTCTTTTAATTCTAAAGAATTTGTTATTTCATGGTATCTGTTTTGAGAACAGATGATAACACAGCATGAATTGCTGCAATAAGGAATCTTGCTGATTCAAAATTAATTTGCCTTATCATCCCATTTTAGCACAGAGCTTTCAGTTTTATTGGTAAAATATTAAGTAGCATAAGAGCAGTATGAACTGCCCCAAAATTAGAAAATTGTAAAGCAAATACCAAAGGCTGGAGAGATTGCATATTATGGTAGGGCTCGGAGTTTTGTGTCAGCAGCGTCCTGAGAGTGGTGTAGAGTTGGGTCAGAGAGACATTGATTTAGCACACAGCCAGATGGTTTCTGCTTGGGTAGCTGCAGCTCAGCTGAGCGCTTGATAGAAACCAGAAAAATAAATCCTTAGTGGCAAACCAATGGACTGTGCCAAGGATAGGCATTTGGCAGGAGAAATACAGGTTGGTACAGTGAGATTTGGGTGGAGATAAGGCAAAGGTAGGCAGTTTTCTGTATATATACGAATTTGACAGAAACTTTGGTCGTCTCAGCAACCTTGATTTATGTACTCAAAAGAAATAACAAAGATAAAGTGATTAAATATGTTTTATAGCTTAAAATTTCTCCGTGATTATTTAATATTTGTATTTGTTGATTATATCAGTAAAAATTGTTCTAGACCATTTCAGAACGGTTTTTCTCAGAAATCAAGCCTTCATAGCTCTCATAAAAGTTCATGATTATATGTCTTAACAAGCTTCTTCTCTTCCTGGTACAGATACTTCTCCCTGATAGCACTGGAGAGCAGAGCTGTTGTTTTTGTAGGAAGAGGCTTTTACTTGAAAAATATATATTCATGCTGTTAAACAAACTCCATCATCCTACTCCCCCACCTTTAGGGAGTGATGTTACTTGCATATCTGATCACTGTCTTTTTATTATTAACATGCCAGATCTGACATATTTCATATGACAAAGTGCACATGGGCTGGAGTTTTTGAATAAAATTTATAAGTGGAAATATATACCTGTTAGTCACTTTATAAAAAATTTTACATTTGCTATAGTTTATGTCAAGTTTCTGTTTACAGCTTTGAGTCTAAGGATCAAAATGGTACTTTAGTAACTAATGGTGATATGATATATATTCTTAAAAATTACTCATCTTGTACAATATTCTGACATCAGACTTTCCATTCAATCAGTTTAGTTTTGCATCCAGCTTATCTGAATTAATAAACCTACAATAGATCAGTAACTATAATTGTTAAATTATGAAATTAAATATTAAAATAAAACCTAACTATTTCATTTTACACATGCAGCTAAAGATAGAAGAAAGAAGGGACAAGGGAACAGCAGAAGTAAAGAAGTAGATAAATTGATCAGGAAACAACAAACCCACAATAGGAAACAAGAAGAAAGAAAGCCAGAGCAAAGACATCAGGAAACAAGGACTGAAAGAGAAAGACGGTCAGAAAAATATAAAGATAAAAATTCACGGGATCCAAATTGGAGAAATCCCATAACAAAATACACTTCAGACAGAAGTGTTCCTTCTGAACGAAACAGTTACAATAGAATCGTGAATGACAGAGACCAAGAAGTGCACACAGATTTGGAAAATAAGCATGGTGATCCCAAAAAAAAGAGAGGAGAGAGAAGAAATTCTTTTTCCGAAAATGAGCACAGACAGCGAAATAAGGACAGTGAAAATGTTGTAAGAAAAGATAGATCAAAGTCAAGAGAAAAGACTAGAAAATATTCAGGCTCTAGAAGTGATGAAGATAGGTATCAAAATGGTGCCGAGAGGCGATGGGAAAAATCTAGCAGATACTCTACACAATCCAGAGAATCAAAGAAACATCAGGACCGGCGAAGAGAAAAATCTCCAACAAAGCAAAAAAAATAATTCTACAAAATTACAGAAACTGAACATGCCTTATATTCAGTTGAGACAAATTATTTTTTACATTAACGAACTTTATAGAGAATTCTTGTATAAAGTACTGGTTTGTATTTGTACATTTAAAATTTTTTTTCATTTTAACATGTTTTATAATTGATACATCTCAAGGCCCTCCACATAAAATTATTTGAGAAGTTTCATTAGAGAGGGATGTAATTCTTGCTTATATTTTGTTAATAAAATGATCAAATGCTCATTGAATCAGTGATTTTTTTCATTGACAAAATTTTTTCTCCTGATAATGTTTCCAATCGTTTATAGAACAATTATGATGAATTATTAGTTGCTTTTTTTTTTTTAAATAACAAGAGATCAAGATAGATGAACCATTTTAGTGTAATATTTTGGCTTTGTTAATAAGATGCTATGAACATTTTTTAGGAGTCACTCTTAAAACAGGAATTATTTCAAGTTTCTTATTATATCTTGAACAAAGTTAGGTATGTGTAATTTTCTTTAACATGTGTTTTGATGAAGCTAAGGATCTTTTAAACAGATGCACAGCTCTATTATTTGGAACTAGGACTTCTCTCATTGATAATATTTCTTCTCTAGATTAACATTCTTTGTGATTAGTGCTTTTTCTCAACCTTGAAGTTATTATCATTGTTGGTGAGTTAATGTGTATTTAACTTTCAATTTAAATTAATAGATCATTGGAAAACGTATAGTAATGAGAAATGTGAACAGCCTAACTGTGAAATAATTCCATTTTTTACAAGAATTTTAAAGGTTTCCATCATTGTAACTCTCACCAATTAATGTGACCATATTATTTATATACTTTTGAAATAAAATATTGCCTCTGAAATTTTAGATTTGCTGACATTTAACCCTACTTACCAAATAGACTACCTGTCTTATTCACTTCTAAAGTACATAAAATCCATTTTATCTAATGTCTGGTTTCAAGAATAATGGGACCACCATTTTAATGTTTGACTTTCAGGCATTCTCTAATTCAAAATCTTTACTATTTTTGTTGAAAAACCTGAATATAAATAATAACAAAGTCCATGTAAATATATTATTCGTCCTATCTTCCTGCCTCTGTGCAAAAAAAAAAAAAAGTATTAATTGAATATGACAGCCTAGAAAAATTATTTCTAGTATTTTCTCCTACTGTGGTGGTTAGAAGGTGCTGAGCTGTCATTAGAAAGTACTATCATGGACACAGTGCATTTCACAGAATTTTGAAGCTCAGCAAATTGGACTTAAGGAAAGCATAGGCTATGAGCTCTAAAGAAAATGAGTTTATTTTTGTAAGTGAACACTGATCTTTGGAAGTGATAAAAGAAAAAAACAACTAGAAATTCTAGCTTATTTTCTTCACTTTCTACAGTACATGTAGAAACGGGAAATGATTATTTTTTTGAGTCATTGAGATCTTAAATAATAATTACTAAAGTAGATAAGTTTTCAAATGTAAAAAGTTATTTATTGAGCTTCTATTATGTGCCTAGACCTGTTCTAGGAACTAGAAATAAAACCATGAAGAAAACAAAGTCTCAACTCTTACAAGGTTGATACTATGATAGGGAGATACAGTGGTCATGATATTGGTGGGGTGGCTGGTAATTTTCCAAGGGAAGGTTTATATGGTGATGCTTGTCCATATTGTTGAAGGAACTAAGGGCTTGAACCCTGTGGACTGCTGTGGGGGGAACCCAGGCAAAAGGAACTGCTGAGGTATAGATGTTAATTTATAACAAATAACTACCTAGAGGTGTATGTTAGCATTTCCTATTCAACTAGTTGGAGTTTTTTTTATTTTTCTCACGATTTTACTTTTAACAAAAGTAGTTAACAGAACACCTAACTCGCTTTGAGCAAAAGTATTTGAATATAACTTGAGTCCTATCAGGGCATGAAAAAATGGGAGCCTGGGGGCAGAACTGGACTGTGTGCCTTCACAGTTCATTTCTACTGCATCAAATGTGATATGTGCACATATCCCCACCCCCGCCCTGCCATTGAGGCAGGTTTTTCACTTTCATCCTTTTAAAATGCAGACAAGAAACATGTTGACTATGTCTGCTAATTCTGACTTTTTACTTCTTAAGTTTTGCACTTTTTAAGGATTAGCTGAGTCCTGTAGATTTCATGTGCATTACTCATGGTTTCCCATTTCCTCAACTTCTTGCACACAAAGTTTCTCTATCCCTATTTACCATTTACCACCTGCACACATGGTCATCCCTTCATGTTGACTTCAGAATTCTTACCACCTCTGAAATCGGCTACAAGCATCACGCTGACCACTGCCCATCCCACTCACCTGTTCTAGTAGTGATAGTCTAGGAATCCTTCCATTTCATCAAAACTTCAGACGTACGGACTTGGTTAAAATTGATTTGGCTAACTGAACATTTAAGTCCAACTAGGTTTTTATCTGAGCCTATACCACTTGCTGGCTGTTGACTTTGGGGCAATTCCTTTAACCTTTATGTCTCCATTTGTGTCCATTTTCTCCTGTGTGCCATGATAGAACCATAACTCCCTTCAATAGTGAATGGTCTCTGTGTCATGAACAGGGCCTGCAACTAAGTGTTCAGTGTTAACTGTTTTTATTATTTTTGTTACTAAACACTGAGAGAGTACCACTAGACCAGGAATTGCAATCTCACATATGGGGGATGACAAATGAGAGAAATCAGATTAGGAGTCAACTGGAGTGACTCAAAGGCAGCAGTAGTTACTCAGCTCCATTCTAACTATGCCCATAAAAATGGCCAAAGGTTGACAAATCTGCCCGATTCTCAAGAGAGTCAAAGAATTAGAACCTCTGATTTTTAAATGTTGGCAATGATTTTTTTTTTTTAAGTTTAAAAACAGCCCAAAGCACTTGACGGGATGAGCACTGGGTGTTATTCTGTATGTTGGCAAATTGAACACCAATAAAAAATAAATTTATTAAAAAAAAAAAAAAGTCCAAACAAAATGATCCCTTCAGGTGAATTAGCTTTTGTGAGTCTACTCTCTAGATCCTCAAAAGCTATTTATTATTTACTTGAAATGACACTCTTTGTTTTATACAAACCTCATCACTGTTTTACTTTCTCCTCTATAATAGTGGGAGGATAAGAACTGTCATCTTTGTTGCGAAAACTCCTACTTTACTAACCTCAACAGTTCGCTCTTGCTTTAAAACGTTTGCCAGGTTTTAGTTCTGTACTTCATTGGCTTTCTTACAATTTTATGTATCCAAAATACAATTTGTTTTTCCTCAAATCTACATCCTTTCTAACAAGTGCAGTTGATTCCACAAATCTCCCATCAGTTTTGAGTTCCCCTGCCCCCAAATCCCCAAACTTCCACAATTTTTTTGTTTTGTTTGTTTTTTAGAGAGGGAGGAAAAGACAGAGGGAGAGAATCTTCAAGCAGACTCCCTCCCCACTGAGTGTGGAGTCCATTGCAGCCCAGATCTCAGGACCCATGAGATCATGACCTGAGCCAAAACCAAGAGTCAGACACTCAACCAACTGATGCACCCAGTGCCCCTGGACTTCAACAGTAGTTTATGCGTCATCCTCCTGTGCACCATGCCCTATTCCAAGGAGATAGCAAAGAGCAAACAAACAGGCCCTGTCTTCACTTGAACCTAAATCCCTGCAGGGGAAAACAAACTAAAATTTAAAAAATAAAACTTAGACTTTGAAAAATGTTAGCTATTTAGAAAAGCCAAAAGAACAGAGCAGTGATCACCTGTATACTATCTATCTGGACTCTGAATTCAGTTATCTAAAGCCTTATTTCCATCCTGTTACCTTCTACATGGAAGTTCAATGACTCCTCTAGACTATATGATGGGTAAAGTCCCAGCTTGTTACCCTAGTTTCTTTAAAATTCAAGTTCAACCTGTCTTTCTTAATGTTTGTTCTAGGAGCTGCCATCCTTTCAGCACTACTCTGTGGCAGGCATCTTAGAGTCCCTAATTTTTTACATCAACTATAAGGTAAGAGAGACCCCAGTTTTACAACCTGCAAGGTGTTGCTGATGTAGAACCCAACAATGGCCTTTCCTTCTATATTGTTTGATTCAGTTCAAGGCACGTGTAGTAAAGGCCTTGTGATTAGCACTTATATATTGTGCTGTGAGATCATTTTTCTTTTTGATCTGACCCCCCTAGGTAGATTATACATTAATCAGCCAGGAGTTTTGTCTTAAATATTGCCTTTCTGTCTGCACACTGTGCAGGTCTGTGCTTCTTAATCTCAGTAGTACTGACATTTGTGGTCAGTTTATTGTAGGGGGCTGCCCTGAACATGTAGAATGTTTAGCAGCATCCCTGACCCTAGCTGCTAAATACCTATGGCCCTAATTTCCCAATCCTGACAATCAAAAATGTCTCCAGACATTGCCAAATATGCCCTCCAAGGCACCACTTAGGAAATACTCTTTAGTGGATCACAATGATAGTGCTTGTTCTGGGAGTGTCACTGTGCCCGTGCATATAAAGCTATGTCTATTGTACTGCCCTCTTCTCTCTTAAGGGCAAGACTTGTTTTAAATGAGTATTTAATACTCATTTAAGAGTAGTGGATAGCAATATTCCAACTGTTTTTGTTTAGCAAAATTTCCTGGTATCATTCTAGGGAAGACACTGGTTGACATTTTGAGAGGCAGGTTTTCTGCAAATGGGAGCATGATTATTAGCCAGTTAATATAATTGTCTCATATAGGTTCTGGTTTCTCACGAGCTGTGTATTATAACCAACACATTTCAGGAATGGAAAACAACCAGCTGTGACTATTGTATTATTTTTAATCTTATAATAGAGAATTAGATTATCCAATATCCAAACACCTCAGTTTTTGATCAAACACTTCACTGACCATCAAATGGTTGCTGAAGTGAATTAACTAGTCATTAAACCAGTAATTTCTTGGAATATAGGACCTAAAAGATTGGGCAAATGGGATTTAATCTCCTCTAAGTTAGATTCTATCCTGGAAGAAATCCTGGACCAAGTATCTGGTATGAATTAAGAGTCCTTATGATTCCCATACTTTATATAGCACATTAACCAGAAATCTTCCCTCCCCTAACACTATTTCTACGACCAGTACATGTAAAATCCCTGTAAAGGCTATAATGAACATTTGCTATTTTTCTTTCCTGAGGATTATTCCTTCTCTCTGATCAGATACTTTGGGGGACTTGCCAACAAAAGCACTGGCCAGAGTATCCAGTTCCCTGA